CCTCACCCCGAAGAGGAGCAGGTAAAGGCGCAGGCCCTGCAATGCCCTGCTCATGCCACCGCTGGCGGAAGGGGCCTCTAATAGGAGTCCCCCCCCTCCCCCCCCCCCAGAGGGTGTTTTTGGTCTGCACTTCCACATTGGACGGTAAGCCTTGGAAGAGGTGTGAGTAACCCACACTTTACCCCACCACGTGCTCCACCGTTGATCGACTTGCAGTAAATAAGCCATTTGTGCTGCTGGCTAGACAGAGGCAGTGGGTGGGGTGGGGGCTCTAAGGAACGCTGCTATCGTTTCAACCTACTCGCCGGAAGGTGTAATTCGAATTGGCGACTTCTGTATTAAGTCCAGCGAGCTAACAGTTGCACCACTGTGGCAGCAGCATCATCATCACCACCACCACCATCATCATCATCTTCGGAGCAAGGATACAATTGAATTGATTTATGGACAACAAAGGGGACCAGACCGTCGATACTTGTGGAGTGACACCCGACACAGCGGCCTTCAATAATAGGAGTCTTTATTTCTTCCAGCACGGGACACGGTCTTCAAGGATTCCCTTCACTCCAAGCGTCCCGAACTCTCTCTCTCTCGCTTCCCCTTTATATATCCCTCAAGCCCCTTTCCCGAAGGTTCCTTGACCTTCCGCTTTCCCTCCAGATAATCACCTTCCCATCATGCACGCCGTGTCCATAACGTCGGCTGAGTATTTTCGGTTGTGAATGAATCACTACACTTGGGATGCTGTTGGCATGAATAACGTGATGTAAAATGAAAGTATTATTATCATGCCCTGCATGTAATTATTATTTGGGACTCTCGGTAAAATCAAGTAGATAGGTTCAAAGTAAATAACAAAAATAACAAAAAAACGTTCTCCAGATGCCCCGCGAGCCTCGCCCATGGGGCCAATAACGGCCGTCATCATCATCGTTACAGGGTGGCCTACAAGTCAAGGACACGACGGCGAGATATTAACTACCTCGCCCGGTATGCAGGAGGTTGTTGGTTCGATTCCGACCTTGACGCCTGCTGCTGTATATTTGGAATTTGCGGTGTCTCTCTTTCTCCCCGTGGTCGCGTGGATTTTTCTCCGGGTCCTCTGGTTTTTTTTCATGCGCATTCATAAACGTGCGTTTAAGAGTATTTGGCTGATATAAATTTCCACACGATAAGCCACTTTGCTGAGCTATCATTTGTGGCCAGGTCACTTTTGAAAAAAAGCTATAGAGTTCAGTGGGCCTTACCTGGTAAAATTGAAAACAAATTTGTTGAATATTTATTATCACAGGATTATTTAATTTATTTTAACAAATGTTCAAACGAATTTCCATTCACATTAAAGCACGGGTAAATTATCTTTTGAGGTGAATTAAGGCCTTTTGTTGTTGTTAAGATTAAAAGTGTAAGCGTTTAGCACTCAAATTTTGATTTAAAGCTTTCATGACTGCAGGGATTCATATTCTTGGTTCTTTCGGTAAAGTCACGTAGAAGGAAACAATAAAATAATAAAAATATAAGACAATACAATTCTCACGACGTTTCGACGGCAACACAAGCAATCATCATCAGGTGTGAAAACTACAGCAAGAAAATTTGAAAAAAGTGGCGTTTTTTAACGTTAGCTCTCCGTGGTGCTAACGTAAAAAAAACCTGCCACTTTTTTCAAATGTTCTTGCTGTGGTTTTCACACCTGATGATGATTGCTTGTGTTGCAGTCGAAACGTCGTGAGAATTTTATTGTTTTATATTTTTATTATTTTATTGTTTCCCTTCTACGTGACTTTACCTAAAGAACCAAGAATACGTGTAACACTCATCAATTACGTAGTCTCAATTCAGTCTGCTTCCGTTCCCATTTTTAAATGTCATCTGTAAAGGAACAACAATAGATATTGCTAATAATTAGATAACACATTAACTTGAAAAAATAAACAACTAAAATGTTTTAATGGCAGCGTTAAAACAAATAGAATCACCCAACAGTGTGGCCTGGACTTTTTTGAGCCGCCATCCCGAGAGGAAAGTCGTGCATCTTGTGCAGATGACCCCGCGGTGACCCCGACGCAAACGCGTGGATCATTGTTGGGGTCATCGCTGCGGGTTAAGTGTGGGTACGTTCTCAACAGTAATTGGGTAACTTAAGGAATGGCCGTGGCAACAATGATGTGGTAGACTTTTGGGGTATCATCTTTACATGAAACTACAAACCGATTGACGAGTGAATTGCAGACAAACGACGCCTCGTCCGTGTTTGGCAACAACTCTTATTCTTTCCTTACCTATGTATGTTGACCTTCTTTCGCACCGTACGTAGCCAGCCGTGCTAATCGGAGGTGCGGGAAATGCAGTGGTTAGCAGAGTATGGTTAATCCGTAACTTTACCGAAAGAACCAAAGAGTATGGATTCCTACAGTCACGAAAGCTTCAAATCAAGATTATGGTCAATCCCTCGGCATCAACTGCGGTCAAGCAGAGTTCATTATATTTAGGCTGTGTTCATAAAGGCAATGCGTATTGGCATATTGTAAGAGATAATAAATATTGGTCCTTTGTAAAATGCACTGGGGTACGGGGTAAAGGCTTCCCTGTGCCGTAATGATTATAGGGGTTGCCTGAGCATACTTCACCATGCTCATTAGTGCAAAGTTATGAAGTGTGGGTGGGTGGCCTAGATATTCCAGGTCACTTAAAATTAGAATTATCTTACCTCGTCGTTTGACTTCTCAACTGGTGGAACAAATCAACTTGAACTCACCATCGAATGGTAGCCACGGACAGGAATCAAACTCATGTTCGCTGGGTTCAGGGATGCAGTGCGCCAACCACTGCACCACCACTCCACCCAATGGGATATTTCTCGGTTATAAATGGGCGAGAACCCAGTACGTTGTGTACATAAATAAACCGTTATAAGGCAGTGCAAGTGATGAATGCAATGCATTTTAGATATAAATCACTGCCAATGAACAGCTCCCAATGCAGTCCCTCACTGTCGTACGTTTCTCCAAAAGGGTCACCGGGTTCAGGACGAAGTGCGCTAACCGCTACGCCACTGCTCCACCCACTAAAATATAGTCAAGGGCTCTTTCACCATTCTTGTTATGATTATAATGCCCTGGCACAGAACACACACCACACACACACGAGCTCGCGCCTTGTTTATGTTGCCGATGATTAGCCCCGGCCAGCAAGGTACACAATCATATTTAAAGCTGACAACGAATACAAACGACTCCATCGCTCCCCAGCCAGCCACCCACCCACCCCCAACGCCCTCGATTGGCGCGGACCAAAAAACATTGGCAGAGTTCACGGAAGGGTCATTGACCACGGCCGGCGATCGTGACGGCCTCGCAAATGAAAGGAAACGAACGAGGAGCGTCGCGATCGCAGCCGGCGCCAGCGAGCCGCTTGTGACGAGCGCGGCGATAGCAGCCAGTGGGCCCACATGTCGCCTTTCAGCTTCGAACGCCCCGACTTTTATAATACTTCGGGAGGGGGTGGTGGGGGGAACATCGCGAGGTCAGCCGCGGCACGTCCCCCATGTCCTCGGGGGGTTGTAACTCCAATGGTGCGAGGCCTCGTTGCGGCCGCAGGGCCGCGTGAAGCGAAGAAGTGGCCGCTTTTGGCCCGTGGGCCGGAGAGTTCGGCCACCAAAGTTATCCGAAGATTGGGGAGGGGGCGGGCGGGGGGGGGGGGGGACGCGTTGAGCTTGCGACGGCGTCCCAAACTTGGCGTCGCGAAACATCTCAACTCGAATTCTTCAATGACCCCGTTGTGTGCGCGTGGCCTCAAACAGGAAAAACATAAAAGGGGGAAACGTTTTTGGCAACGGCCCTTCTACTCAGCACGGACACGTCCAGAGCCGCCGTGAGCCAGGTGAACGGTGGCTAGGAGATGGTAACTGCCTCGTCTGGTGTACAGAAGATCGCCGGGTTCGATCCAGACCCTGACGCCTGTGGTATATTTGGAGTTTGGATGTCTCTCTCGCTCTCATCATCATCATCACGGTGGCTAGGAGATGGTAACTGCCTCGTCTGGTTTACAGAAGATCGCCGGGTTCGATCCAGACCCTGACGCCTGTGGTATATTTGGAGTTTGGATGTCTCTCTTGCTCTCATCATCATCACGGTGGCTAGGAGATGTTACCTCCATCGTCTGGTATATGGGAAGTCGTGCGTTCGATCCCGACCCTAACGCCTGTGGTATATTTGGAGTTTGGGGTGTCGCTCTCTCCCCGTGGTCACGTGGATTTGTCCTCCACGTCCTCCGGTTCTTCCCCCCACATTTAGCATCAACGTCACGCATTTATAATATTTGGCTGCTATAAATTTTCCACGTGATGAAAATCCCACTTCGTCGAGTGATCATCTGTGCTAGCCAGGTCGCGTCTGAAGAAGAGCAATATAATTCTAGATTTGAAGCTTTCGTGACTGCAAGGATCCATACTCTCCGGTTCTATTCGGTAAAGTCACGTAGGTAAAAAATAAAACAACGAAAATCACGACGTTTCGGCCACAACACAAGCGGCCTTCATCAGGTGAAGGGACCAGACTGTCTCGAGGACAGCGCTGGAGTGAGCTTGGCTGTGTTTCACTCCAGCGCTGTCCTCTAGACAGCCTGGTCCCTTCACCTGATGAAGGCCGCTTGTGTTGTGGCCGAAACGTCGTGATTTTTGTTGTTTTATTTTTTACCTACGTGACTTTACCGAAAAGAACCGGAGAGTAAAGAGCGATATACCTTTGTGGGCCCTATCTGGTAAAATAAAAATGTTTAATTTAGTTTTTGTAGTATGTGCTGTGTAGGTTCCTTGCCCGAAACGTTGCATTTCATACGTTTTCCTTTGAAGGCCACACGCCGTTGTTTACGAACGTGTGTCGCGTTCGTGCACGACTGTCAAATGCGGCAGCAGCGGTCACCCAAATTGTTTTATTTTATTTCACAAAAAACCCCACAACGATCGACAGAGATACAAAACGGAAAAAACAAGGCGGCAGTTCTCGATACAACTTTTATTGTTGATATGATAACAATATATATTTATACATATATTAGCTACAGATAAAGGTAACGTCTTACATACATACTTAAAAAGTATTATTTGCAGGATCTATATGGTACATTATTATGGCAGCAATACGTATGTTAAGACTGCAAGGTTCGACTTGCGCGTCACATGTAGCGTCCCGATACTGGTGGAGGGTGCCATGATCAGCCTCTCGCGAAAAAGCGTTTAATAGGAGTTGGGTGGTCGTTTTGGTTTTACTTATTTAATTAAATGTTTGTGTTAATCGCTGGAATGTTCGCGGTTAATGAGGTAACAGCGGTCTTATCTGCTGCTGCTGCTTATTGGTGTTGACAATTGTCCGTCCCCTCGACGAAGCCACGCGGTGCTGCCGTCTTGCCGTGAATTCTCAAACGGAACGGCAGCCGCTGCAAAGCGGGTCACGGGGGGTCACGGGGGGTCACGGGGGGTCACGGGGGGTCACGGAGGGGTCATTGCCCCCACCCCCCTCGGTTTAGCCGACGAGAGACCGCGTCCGACTTTCTCGCCCGGTTAAAACAAAATCAACTTTTGAATGGAATGTAAAATAGTCCCTCGCAGAGACTCTCCACGTGACATTAATACAACGGTCCCGACAGCACCAACGGACAGATTAATTTTTCAATCAGCTCCGTTTTGATTACCCCGTTAACAATTTCAATTAGTCACTCCAAGAAAAATCCAACTTAATAAAACATTTAAAACGAGCGACTTGCCCTTCTTCAAACGTTGGCATGAACATTTTTATCCACAGCACAATTAAGCACCTTGATTCTGCGTACAAACAAAACGAAATTTAAGAAAATTGCAACTTAATTTCCCAACAAAAAAACAAAGGCCTTACTTTAATTGCTGATGACGATCTGGAAATGTGACTTAACCGTGCGAAATGTTTTACGAAAATACTTTTAGCTAAATAAATTCACTTCTTTTTTTGTCGTAATTTTTTGTTGTTTAAAGTTTTAGGTACAAAATATATATTTACTTTTGTTTGTTTGTTATATGTCCCCTCAAGCGAAAGCTTTACGGATAGGAGGGCAATGGGCTGGATTAACAGATTCTGCAAGCATGTTCAAATAGGAAGGCACAACTGGCCGTTTTCACCCGAACCCTTACATCGGCCAAATGAAATGCATGCCATCTGTAAACATTGTCTACACGTACAATTTCAAAGCGAATTATGTTTTTGTGTGTGTCTGTAGATGATGTAAATGAGCGATGTCTTACACGCACCGAAGGTTCCCCCCCCGAAGGAATAATAATGACAGAGAAGCGACGACGAGAAGAAATGGCTACGTGGAATAGATAGACTAATGTCGCCGCCTGAGGCTTTAAGTTTAAACTCGCGGAAAGCTTAGGAGACTACGAGAAGTTAAAACCGTAACAAATTAGCAAATCGCACGCACGCCACTCTCTCATTGTTCTCTCAGCGGAATCACAATAAATACAAAGAATAAAACAGCAACGGTAAAATGTGGAACTTAAAACAAAACGAAATTGCACTGTTAATAATAAAGAGCTCAACTTAATATTGGATGTTGGTGTTTCATTTGGGATTTTTTTTTTAAAAAAAGTGACGGGTTCGGGTTTGTTGTTCTGTTTAGAGAGGTAATGGTGCCAACACTCCTGCTCGGAGAGCAACGCACCTTGAACCTGTGACGCTTTCGCCTTGCGGGGTCGTGCGCGCTACGCAGGATCTTCTCCAAAGGCCTCCCCACTCCGCACCTGATTGCAACTCCCAAACCACCTCCTAACGCCCCCCCCCCCCCATCCCACGCAGTTGCAGGGAAGTTCCGCAGACGCCCAAGTAAATGGTCTCGAGTGCGGTGTTCATTGATTTGAAGAATTGAGCCTTACGGTCACATTCTAAATGGAGGGGGGGGGGTCATCAAGATGCGCCCACAAACATTGAACGATTTGACACCGACCGTGCACCTGCCACTGACAACGCGCGCACAGCAGCCCTGTATCTGCTGCTTCTGCGGGGTCCCCATGGGTCATTTGCCTCGCTGCAGACTTTGTCGACGCGAGGCTACGCGCTTGCGTTTCTGTATGGCGCGACTTTTTTCTTAAAAGTGTTTATTTTTGTTTATTTGTTACGCCTGTGCCGAAAAAACGTACAAGTGTACAAAAAAAAGAGCCGTCCAAACGCACACGGACGTGCATGGGAGTACTCGCTCGCCCTCCCGCTCAGCCGCACACGGACCGCGCTCAGACAGACAGGCTGTTGTGACTCCCTCCTTACACGGCTCGGTCGGACCGCACGCGCGTTGCCAAAGCCGTTCTGTTAGAAAGTAAAACAAAAAAATATATATATATATAACACCCACCAAATGACTTTCCTCCGTTCGTCAAGACCAACCGTTTGCAAAGCCACGCGGTAAATGTGCAGTAGATTGGCTCAGCTCAGGGGGACAAAGGGGGAAGGAGAGGGGATCATTTTCAAGCACCATAACGTTTCCGTAAATCCATCGGTAAAGCAGCTACACTCGGATACACTTTGGCAAGCATTCTTCCAACATCGACCGGTTTCAACGAGGCACCGGCATCGTGGGGGGGGGGGGGGGGGGACAGCTTCGGCAACAACTTAAATAGACACGAGAGGTTGAGCTTCGAAAAAAAAAGTCGAGCGGTTAAGTGATGCAGACGCAGGGGGGGGGGGGGGGGGGGAGGAAAGAGGGTCCTTCGTGCCGCTGTTGTTTTGTGAACGTGTGAACGTGCGAGCGTTGGAGGGAGGGCGGTGCGGACGCGGAATGAAAGCGCCCGCACCGCCACTGCACTCGCCAACACCTCGACCAGCATGCATTCAAAAAACCAGAAGAAAAAAACGGATACACAATTATTTGATGCGCACATTTTTTTTCTACCGAGACATGCAACGTGTTGTCCCAGCAGTTTTTTTCGTTTTTTGGTAAAGAGATGGTATTTTTTTAAATGTATTTTAGCCCTTAAAGAAAATAAATGGATTTTTTCCCACCCTCCCTCTCGCGTTCGCATCCATACTTAAAGCTTGACATCGGAGACAAACGGGGAAGCCAGCGCTCGGCTCGGTCTTCTTGACACGACGCTCTTGGGGCGGCGAGGGGAAACGAGAAGCCTTTAAGATTTAGCAGCAATCAAGACGTTAATATTCATCGTGAGCGAATAGTGATTTACGCACGCGGTCCGCGATTGGCGTCTCGCTTCTCCAACCAGAGCTAACCACCCCCCCACTCGACAACTCGTTAGGTAGGAATACGACTCCGCTCGATCAACGTGGCAGTAACGACCTTTGGGGGAGGAGAGGGATGAGGAGGAGGGGGGTGCAAAGCTTGAAATGTTTGACTTGAGAAAACAAACGCACGCACGACAACAACAAAAATTAGAAATATAAGAAAAGAGGGAAGGATATAAAAAATAAACGGAACGAAAAAAAAACAAAAGCGACATCGTTTAATACTGGATACATATATAGATGAATGTAAAAAAAGGGCCCAAAAATGTGCCAAAAAATGTGCCAAAAATGTGGTTTAATGAACTAGTGTTGGGACCAGCAGCTGTGCAAATATACGAGAAACTTACAGCATGTTCTGTCGAGTGTTTCTTAGCAGAGCGCCTTTCTGTCCAAGCAAACCGCCGCCGTGTTGCCGACGGCATTCTTTTGCAGGATAAATACTCGACTTTAAGAAATGATAGTTAAAAACAGAAATACCAGTTAATAAAATGCATAGAGGAAGGGCGAGCAACAAGACGAGGGATTTTGGCAACGAGTTTGCAAAAGTTTCCTCTTGTGTTACGATACCATTTCACCTGCCACTATATTTTGGTTAAGGCCTCTCCTGCGTAGCCCCCACCCCCACCCCGTTGGCTCAGGCCTCAACCAGCCCCGAGGCCTCAAGCTAGCTAGCAACTACGAGTTCACAGCCCTTTTACAAACGATGGAATACAAATTGCCGTGACATGCTACCGGCTGAAGATCAACCATGAAAATCAGGAACAAACGTTGTACCATCTTGAAATCCATATTCGCCATGTACTTGCACACTATGAAGCTATACGTAATTTTTTTTTTATTCATTTAGTTAAAATATTTCACCTGGGTTATTCCCTTGAGATGGAGCATCTCGTTTGCAAGGATTTCCAGGGTATTATTATCATTAAGGCTCTTATGTTTTTACCATTATCATAATTCTCCATAAAACAGCCAATATCGATTTTAACGTGACATGCAATAAAATTACCTGTATGGAACAGTATACATAGAAAAGGATGCTGCCATATATAATTAAGGCAAAAAATAAACATAAAATTGCAATACAATTAAAAAAACAGCATTTCGTTGAAAAAATAAAAAGGTTCATGCTCTGAATGTTAGCAACCCACGTGTCTTGGCAGAGTCCAGTTGTGCGATCTCAAAGTTACACCAAGGCTGGAATTAATGCCGCCTCAAATCCTGACTTAATTTTTGTGTTTGTTCAAGAAGCCTCCCCACCTCCTCACCCCCAGATGGGGGAACCTTCCAATTTGGTCACAAGGGGCGGCGGACACACCCAGATCGCGACGCGAGCTCACATTCACTGGCAGTTCTATAGCTTGCTACATAAAAAGTGCTTTTTCCCACCCCGGACCCCCCCCCCCCCGCAAAAAAATATAAATCACAACCTCAAATAATAATTCAAATGTGCAGGCTAGTTTTCATAGTTCTCTTTCCCCCCCCCCGTCCCCCCTCATTTATTGTTGTGTCTTTTTCCGGCCCCTCTCTTTTTTCAAACAAGGCACCACTGACATTGCAAGTATATATAATAACGGTAATCACCACATAAAGCTTTCCCACTGAATATCATCTGATTTACAGACGCATATACGTCGACGTGATATGCAGTCAGGCACTTGATATTATCTATAGGTTTTTTTTGTTTATGCCAAGGCATATTCATCGTTATCATCTTTTGCCGTGCCCTCCTTTTTACAGTCGGTTCAAAAACTTATAAAACAGCCGCACAAGGCAGAGGTCGCATGCGGAGGCCGCTTCGCTCGCCACCGCGACACCTTTCATTAAACGATCACCGCGAGAGAGCGACTTTTAAACGAAGAAAGCAGCAAAGCGTACGTACACGGGTGGCCTCGAAACCCCCCACGCGTTCGAAAAACCCACCACTGGAGGTGCCAATCTTGTACTGGTATTACCGCGGCTCTTTCGGACGAGGCTACTGCTGCTTGGAAATAACAACATCGTGCAGTTGCTCTCAAGATTTCTAGCGGATTTACATTTTATTTTTCCTCTTAAATTTGCATAGCGTAGCATCCTACCGTTCTTACAAAGGCGAGTCAGCATTGGTTTGGTCGTGGCATCCACATCTCTTCGAAATCGCTCTCCGCGTCTACCAAAACGAGTACAGCATTTTTGTGGAATTATGTCAAGGTTACGCAAGTACGGGAAAAAAAATCGCTACAACAAACGGAATATGACGACCTCCGGAACTGACCCTACACCGCAGAAGGTAGCGGAACGCAAAGTCAGTTTTGAGTCCGTGGCGGCGGCGAAAACCGGCCAAGCTCTATCAACCTTTCTGCGTGCGAGATCGGAAAAATAAGAACGGTCTATTGGTTTGTTTATGGGGTGAAAAAAACATGTCATACCAAAACAAACATGGTGGAATCTTCCCTCCGACATCAAGCTGACCCGTTGGGATTTACATGATGAGCAGCTGGATGATGAAGGCGATGAAGAGGGAGCTTGCTCCGAACCCCAGCAAAATGAGGGCCGCGAAGCGCTCGTCACCATTTTGAAATTGGTCAGGGCCCGCGGCCTCACCGAGGCCTAGCGGCTCGCCTGACTGGGCAGCCTCGGGACGGCGGGGCACGAAGCTGGCCGAGGGGCTCGGCTGCCCGACCAGCTCCGTCTGTGTGGGAGCAGCCAGGGGGTCGCCCCCGCTGCTGGTGCAGACACTCTGGCGCGAGGCGCACACGCGGAACCTGTACTCGCTGTTAAAGTGGAGGCCTGGGATCTGGAAGGAGGTAGCCATCCCCTTGTAAACCTGCAAAAAACAATGGACAGCGAGACAGCAAGAGGGTCAGTGGTGGGGATGTTAGTGCTTCAGACTCAAATACCGTATTCTCCAGATTATACGACAGCACTTTCCCCAATGTATTTAATACGACGGCACTTTCGCCAATGTATTTTATACATTGCCGCATAAAATACAGTATAGTATACAGTACATGACATAAAATTAACGCCGAACCGCTTGCACCCACACCCTGCAGCTTGCAGACATCTTGAAATGGGAAAGGGTTAATGTGAATGCGGCTGCGATGCGGTTTATGCGGTGAGAGAATTATAGTACAGTAAATCAAAGCGGACGGACAGCTAATAAGCTACGCAGCGCCATGGGTGGCCACGGACGGCGCTGTGGCGCGGAGATCAGCGTCCCCACGAAATCTGTAAATTCGTGTTGCAGCAGACCCGTGCTTACCCACGGATACTTGGTTGGTAAATTGAGATACAAACAATAGACCGTGTATACATTAATATGCGGTTGGCAAGTCCGCGGTTAGCGAGGGATGTCTGCGTCCCCAGGATTATGCCTGTGAGGCCACGAGCAGGGAGTCCGGGGGTCACGCGGTGACATTTTTGAGGACCCCGGGACCCGCCGTGATATTTGAATTTGAAAAAAAAAGGTAAGATCCAAATGAATAAATATCCAAAGCTGCCGTAAGCAAGCCGGCGCGCTTAAATTCGGTGACCTTTCTCCGCCGGCCGGTGGTACGTTTTGGAGCGAGAAAACAAATCCCAACGCAACTGTGTGACGTTTAGCAGTGGATGCTTTCACGTGAAATGGCCACTCTCCTTGAAACGCAACGCCGCGTTTCCCTCCTGCCGTGGCGACGTGCGTTAATATCGCACGCGCCTACAAACAATCGGTCGTACTTGAGTCTGAACCGCTCACACTGATGTGCTGCGAGAGTTAGGGGTTAAAGGTGGGAGCACGTGGGAAAGCTGATGTACCCAGGACAGGAGAGAGGGTGCAGACGAGAGGAGCAAGAGTGCCCACATACGTTCGGGAAGAATTGCCAGCAAGTGGAGGCTAACTGGGCGCCGAGCGTAAGTTAATTACGCTTGATCACAGTCAATCAACGTTTGCCACCGAGGTTCGTGGCGAGGGAGAGAGGGCGTGGCAGCCAGCGATGGCGAGCCCACTTAGGGTGAGCGGCACTCAGCTCGTTTATTCGAGCTGCGCTCGCTTCGCGCGGGCGAATGCTGCTTTAAAATGTGATTTGCGTTATTGTGTTTTGCACAACTAAAAGCTTCAGGGGTGGCATTACGGCCTGAGTGGCAATATTTCACACGAACCGTGAACACACATGGGACTCGCGCTGGATTAGGCGTTACATTTCTTTCAAATAGATACGTACGTGATGGATGGGGTGAAGTGGTTAGCACACTGCCTCGTGAAACTGGCGACCTGAGTTCCGATTCCTGGCCACGGCTAACGTCAGCAGGGAGCGATATCGTAAATGCCCTTGGGCCAGCAGCCCAACCCACAACCCACACTGACCACCAAGCTGGTGAAGTCTGATCCAGCGACCCCCGCAACCGACGTGGCGTGGAGATGCTTTCCCAACAAAAACAATGAACCACGTGCCAACGTTGGCCCAATGTTGGCACTTTTACTGAGTTTGCTCCAGCAGTGGTCCATTTTGACTGTTGTTAAAAGGACCATTGCATGCAAGAGTATGCGTAATGCTTATTCACCAAAAAAAGTCAACAGTACTTATGTGTTTGTAATAAAAACAATTCCAAATATTTATTAATCCAGTGCTGGACGTTAGCACCCCCCCCTCACCCATGCCGTGTCGGTTCACATGGGTCACTTGACCATACGTCACACAAGCCACCCAGAATGCACCTGATATCTCCTAATCTCGGAAGCTAAGCCAGGGTAGCGCTTGGATGGTGCTTGGATGGGCGACCACCGTGCATACAACAAGCGCTAGGGGCTGCTGTGGGGGCTATGCTGTCAGCAGACGGCAACACAGCAATATCCGCTGCTGTACTGTACTATGGATCCAACATCTATGCTTCCCCCCTTCTCCAACCCGCGTTGACAGGCGTTGGCTATACATGGCCGTCAAATAACTCCTCATGATCCGCAGGGTGTGGGAGGGGTGCCCTGGTAAAGCAGCGGGCTGGCAAAGAGTTGTGTACTTACACATGAACATCTGTACTTGTTTTATTTAAACTATGTGTATATGCAGAACTTCTTTCGCACCGTACGACTTAGCCAACCATGCGAACATTCACACACTTAAGTTGGACAATAATATATATTTATATTATTTCACTTGTTTACCCAAGAAAACCTCACCGATGAGTCCAACAGGAGGGTCCTGCCAGTTTTCTCAGGAGGGAAGCAATGTCGCTGCTGCTGCTGCCGTGCGAGCCAAATTGAGACATTTGCAGGACTTTTGGATGTTTTGGGTCAACTGCATGTTCTTTTTATGGCAGGAAACACGAGAAACCGTAGGAAACCCGTGCAGAGTGGTTACAGAACATACCAACTCATACCAGCTCACCATCACCACATTGATACCCACCCAAGCCAGGTGTTGAACCCAGGCCCTGCTTGCTGCGGGGCACGAGTGTGCTACCAGCGTGAAGCGAACGCACCGGGCTCGTTCGCTTCACTGCCCATTCGCTGCCCTACGACCGTTTAGCGTCTCCCGGTGGGACTGTGCGCTCCCACGGGGTCGCTCCTCCGGCCACACGTAGCAAGCTCCACCAAGGCACAGCCCGACACCGCAACACGGCACGCTCCCGGCTCCGCTCCAGCACGCTGTGCGTTCGTTTCGTCTTAAACTCCCCCCCACCCCACCCCTCTTCTCTTTCTCCACGAATCGATACTGCGGATACCTCCCATGCGTAATAGTCCAGCAGGGCCAAATTAGCCGCCGGCGGCGACACCACGCGCCACGGCAATCCATCGGTGCGAGAGCTCGAAACACGGCCGGCGGGCTACCGCGGCCCAGGAGGGCCTCGCGTGGACACGGCGACCGCGGGCCTCCTTCCCCCCTCCCTCTTCCCCACCGCCCCACCCCCCCTCCGAACGTGTCACCGCGGCGGTGAGAATTATGGGGCGGCAAGCCCCCTAACGCGCGGCGAAGTCCCCCCCCCCGGCCCGAGCCAACGCACAGGGCAAAGGTCAACGGCGGCAAAGGGAAGCGGCGGGCGTGCCGCCGGGCGCGCGCGGCGATTTTTCCCGGCGTTCCCTGAAAATTGGACAAGGATTTTTCCCACGCACGGCAGGCAACAAAAGCCAACATTGGTTCAATTCGGGGTGCGAATTTAGCGGTGAAATGTTCCGCAATGGACGGAGAGCAATTGCCGTTATCGAGGCTGATGTAGATGGAGCTTTGTCGGCAAATGAATATTTAATATTTAAAAAACATTGCGCGGAGCAAACGACGATGCCGACATGACGATGATCGTGTGCTGGATGTAGTGCGGCATAAACGTCATTTTGCCGCACTGCGGCAACTGTTGCCACAGGTCATCGAAAAGCTACGGGCAGGTAGGGATCATGGCCTCACACCACAACGTGTAACCCCTGACCCCCTCGCCTGCATCAGGCGAGGGGGCAAATGTTCGGTTTGTCCGCACTGTGTGCCACACATTGCTCATCGAGCCATGACCGGACGTCTTCCGGATGGATAAATAAATAATTATTCGTATATATATATTTTTTTTAACGACAAACAACATCCAAAAGGGGGAAGAGGAAATTAAGTACAATGTCGCATATCCGAGACGTTCCCTGGAGTACGCAGAACAACACGCATGTACGGAACGAGTACGAGGGAGGATGATGATAACAATAATGATGACAACAGAAGACTTTGGTATTGGCGCCGTCGTGCTTACGGCCTAAGGCTATCGCCGCGGCCTAAGACCATCATCACCCAGGAAGGCCCTGCTGTGCTAAAACACAGGCTCCATTCGGTTCACAGTTCACGATGTCACTCCATGCTCTCCCTACTAAGTGATTTGCGGTGTCATTTTTTAAAATTCTGACTGGTGACGTCAGCACACGATGGCCACAAGGGACATGTCCCCACGGCCCGTGACACCGTTGTTCAGTGGATGCTAAAATGCCACCCCTGGCTGTGTAGTTTTATTATGTTCCAAGAAACGATGATTCTACAGACGCTGGAAAGCCGAGGTGGATTGCTTTCACACCCTGGGGGGGGGGGGGGGGGGGCTTGCTAATGAGCTTAAAGAATGGGGCATCATCAGCAAGCCAGCAACAGGAGGGGGAGGGAGGGAGGGACCATTTCGGTGCACTGCACTGGAGGTGACCACTCAGAAGGCGATGTGGAGGACTGATGGAGAGCGCCAAGAATCACAGCAGGAGACAAGATCGAGTGAAATTTTCGTATTTTCTCTGCGACCCGACCGCGAATGCGGCGTACATCGGCGCGCGAAGAGGACGCGCGGATTGCAGATCAATCGGGGTTACAAAAACATATGATATCGCTACATCGTGCGGTTCCCTGCCGGTCCACTGCTGGATGGAACGCTGTGTCAGTCGTGTGGGTTGCTTGACCATACTTCGCTGCGTTGGTTAGCGCAGGTTGGCCAAGTGGGGGCACAGCCGGGGACTGGTTCAGATATCGCTCGTCACCGATGTCAGCCGTGGCCGGGAACCGAGGTCGGTACAGCGGGTTCCATGGTGCAGTGCGCGTTAACCACTCTGCCACCACTCAGCCCGAATGATGTGTGTGTATATACAAATAGAAATGTGTCGTTAAATGTTGTATATACGCTATGTGAATGGATTATGATGTTTACGTTGAGGATAACAGAATCTATAAACACTTTTATTTCAGCTAGAATTAAAAAAATTACTACATTTGCTTAATGTGAATCCATGAATTCTGAACTCAAGGCCACAGGGTTGTGAAATAATAATCAGGTCAGGAACCGGCCATGGATTCCAGTGGACTTTTAGTACGGAGGGTTCATGGTTCGATTCCAGCGGCCGCCCTGGTTAATGGCGCGGTGCAGAATAAGCGTAGAGTTACTACGCGCCACCTGCTTCACAGTGGACATTAACGACCCCGTGACGTCTTTCGCAAGAGTGCGACATTGCCTGTGCCGGCGTCACGGTCCCCGCGCTTTGCCAAATTTGAAAAATCACACCGCAACAATCACCCAAATGAGATCACGCACGGCAGCAATTATCACCCCCCCCTGCTGCAAAAACTTGGCAGAACCTTCCTAAAAGAGAGTCACGGGGTTCATACTCTTTGTTTTTTTTCAAAATAGCTGTATCAAGGTACAGCTATTTTGCTGTGACTGTTTCACCTGAAGATGGAAGCTTGTGTTGCCTCCGAAACGTCGTGATTTAATTTAGTTGTTTTCATTTATTTTATTTTACCTATGTGACTTTACCGAAAAAACCAAAGAGTATGAATCCTTGCAGTCACGAAAGCTTCAAATCTAGAATTAGAGTCATGGGGCTTAATAGATGGTCATCATGTCTGCCCAATCCATACCTGTCAACCCATGCACTTTACCCATGTACTTGTGCAGGGAAATTGAGTTTACAGGTCCACACGGCGGACAGCCATTTCGATACGAGCAAAAAAAAAATCTATTTGTTTGTCTTTCTCCATTGTGATGGGACTTTGTAGGATGAACGTTGAGCTTTATAAGGGCAAGGGATGGCGAATACATTCTGAATTGGTCTGTAATAAGGTAGAAACTGATAAGGTGTTGACAGGTGTGCCAATCAACGTTAGAAATCTTGGTGTTCGGTTTGACCAGTGTCTGTTCTTTGACGGGTGTGTGTCTCGTGCCGTTAGAAACTTTGTTCTTCCACCTTCATATATACTGCCCAGGCTGCGTCCATTCCTGTCACCTAATGGCTTTGAGAGGCTGGTCCATGCTTTTGTCAGTTAAACACGTAGGGGCTTTCGCGACCAATATCCATAAGAGATTTTTGGGTTATGGATATAAATGCATAAATTAACCCTCCCCCCTTTGGTCTTCGTACCTGACTGGCTCACAAGTGACGACATCACATTTATCCCCCCCCCCCCTGTCTACTTGAGACCGAAACAGCAGGAGGATTTCTCCACTACTCTGGCTGCCGCCTGATGATGCTGGTTGGTGTTGTAATTACCGGCGAAAAGTCACGGTACTCGAATTGTAAATGTCGTGGTGGGTTTACTCTCCAACACACCGGTGTGCTGATTGTAGTAACACATTTGTTCACGTGACAAACTTTATTAATTGGCTGTGTTGGGTGGTGGCGGGTTTAATGAAGCATTTATATTTACACAAACTAACCCAAAAACCTCTACTATGGACCATGTGTTTGTGTTCGCCCGACTTGACTACAGCAACGCAGTACAATTCGGGATTCCGAGTGAGGTGCTAGCTAGACCGTGGCTCGTTCAGAACGCGGCCGCTAGAGTCCGAGCAGCACATCACACGCCTGCTTTCTTGTCTGTGCATTGGCTACCAGTCAAATACCGAGTGATCTCTAAGATGCTGCTGCTGGCCTAGAAGGCTCTCAATGGGTGAGCCCCGCAATATGTAAAGGAACCGAGATGGGTCTCGGTGACTCCAATGAGGTCCCTGAGATATTCGAAGCGCCTTCTACTAAGCACTCCGTCCGTGGTCAAGGCTCATTCTGTGCCGGGGTGATCGGGCTTTTGGCGGTGCAGCTCCCAAGCTTTGGAATGCTTTGCGTTTGCTAATAATACAATCAGAGTCGTTTGATATATTTCAGTCAGTCTTGAAAACTCACCTCTTTAGAATGGCCTCTGCCTCCCTAGTTCTGCAGGTTCTGTTTGTTTCCTGTGTTTCATCATACACGGTGCATTGGGATCTACAGATGAAATGTGCCTTAACAAATGTCATTTATTATTAATATTAATTAAGCTTTCGTGGGTAAACGAGTGTAATAATAATAACATGCGACCTATTTTGTTTTACCAGGCAAGGCCCACTGAGCTATGTGGCTCTTTGTGTGGACATTTGAAGCAGCCAAGTAATCTGAAAGCATATTTCTTAATGTGGAGGGAAAAACCGGAGGACCTGGAGAAAGAAAAATCCACGTGACCACAGGGAGAGAGACACGCACACTCCAAATATACAACAGGCGTCAGGGTCGGGATGGAACCCACGACCTCCTGCACACCAGGCGAGGGAGGTAACATCTCGCCACCATGACCTGCCGATAGCCTTGACTGTACTCATCAACCCAATCATACTGCTGGATGGACAATGTACGTAGCCAACCAGAGCACGTGGGGGGAGCAAAGTACCTGCTTGTACTCGGAATCACGTGGGCTGTGGAGGTAGAGGCAGTAGAGGAGGGGGTCACCGCTCATGGGGGGCACGGGATCCCAGGAAACCTCGCACCGGCTGCCCTCCAGCTGAGTCACACGTGGAGCTGGGGGGGGGGGGGGAGGAAGGGTGCGGAGTGGCCAGCAGCGTCACCATCGTCATCAACGTCACCATCATGAGCATCGTCGCCGCCATCATCGCGATCGCCACCGTCTTCAACATTCTCAACGGACTTGGCTTCTGCCTGCCCTCTCCCCTTCTCATCTCACTCCTCCTCTCCCCGTGGTCCTCCTCCCTCTCCCCTTCCCATCTTCGTTGACGCTCGCAAATGGCTCTTGCCTCAAAATCCCGTACGGCCGCGTACCGGGGGGGGGGGGGGTTTAGGTACGCTCGCAAAACAACGAGTGAAGAGCGCCTCCACGGGGGAGCGTAGGCGGTGGCGCGCCCGCCAATCATTTCCGGCGAGATGGCCCATAACGCGCCCCCGTCCCCGCGAGCTCCCGTCGACACGCGCGCTTGCGCTGCGGTTCTACCTTTCGGTGCGGGCGGGATGGCCTTGCCGGTGGTGAAGCTGTGGAGTTCGGAGTACGGGCCCCGGCCGGCCTGGTTGGAGGCCTGGATGCGGAACCTGTACTCGGTGCTCTCCTGCAGCCTCTGCACCTTGTACGTGTGGCAGGGCCCCGAGTAGAGGACGGTCAGTCTGCACACCGGTGGGGAGGCGGAGGCAGAGGGTACAAACACCGCACCATCATCATTAATAGACTGTTGGGGCGATTGCTGTTAGGCGAGCAGCACCTATGAAGGCCAGTAGAGCACACGAGGGGGTGGTCGGCCAACACCACGCCCGGCCGCCTTTGTCTCCCCAGTGGCGATGTTTACACACCGCACCAGGTACTCATTTGAGGCCGAGTTGACGTAGGGGAGGCCCAGGACCGGTTCAGATAATCGCCACCGGTGTTGGCCGTGAGCGGGAATCGAACCCGGGTCGCCCGGTTCGTAGCGCAGCGCGCTAGCCGCGACACCACCGCTCCCCTCACATGTAAACACATACACGCGCACATACACGCGCACATACACGCGCACATACACGCGCACATACACGCGCACATACACGCGCACATACACGCGCACATACACACGCACATACACACGCACATACACGCGCACATACACACGCACATACACACACACCTCACGGCAGGTGCAGTGCGCCCGCTCTGGGTTCACAACTGTGCGGCGGAGATGAAGGCAAAGCCCTGCGCTCTCTAAGCACGCCGGCGGCACGACCGCTCGAGCTCGAGGAGCCATGCTCGGCAAACTCGGCAATGACGAGGAGTGCAAACAAAGTGGGCGGGGGGGGGGGCGACAATTCTTGCTGGAGGGCGACGCACGTACGGCAAACACGGAAGGCTTCGGTGGGGAACGCGAGGCCGGATTTTTCTCTCTCTCCTCTTTGCCATTGCGAAATAAAGAGTGTTGCTTTTCTCCGCCCGCCTATCGCCAGTGCAATGGGCGTAACCACAGTGAGATATTTCATTGCGCTAAACATTGTCAAGCCCTTGACGAACCGCATCGGGGGAAACGAAAACGCGACGACAAGGTTGATGAGAGCGAAGGGGGGCGGAAGCGTGGATGAAAGATGCACAAGGACGCGGATAACGCCGACGGAGGAAGACGTGGGGGTTGGGGAATAAGCACAAATTAGAGACGTATTGACTTAAGGAAAGAAAGCAGCCTTGGGGAAGGACACGTCATGGCCACAAGGCACGACGGCCGACGGGCAAGGATGGGCGACTGATCGGGGCGCCAAAGAATATTTCAGAATCAGAATATTTATCTCCGCTGGAGGAATCCGATGGGCTATAAAGCTATTTTTTCACAGATGTCCAGTAAGATTGGCTACCAGTAGGCTTCACATTTATTTATACGTCCGAAGATTTTAACAGGTTAATATTGCGATATGTTAACTATCGCATGGGGGATTGTACTTATTCAATGCCTAGAATGTGCACAAACAGGCTCAGCCACATATAGAATATTCCTTTACATTTAAGTGCAATCAAATATCAATAAATAAAATATCAATAAAATTAAAGCATTAGAAAGTAAACTATCCAGCCAGGCGGGTCAATAGTAGAGTGATGGGCTCACAATCAGAAGGTCGAATATTCCAATGTTGAATCAGAATATTTATTTATATGAGAGGAATCCGAAAAGCTATGAAGCTGTTTTTAACAGATGTCCAGTAGGTAAGAAGGTGACAGGAGGGACCCCCCCCCACCCCCTCCCCCCTTGAGTGGATGGCCGCCGAGGAGACGGAGCAATGAGGATCAATTGGTGCGCATGTGGGGAGGCGAATTGTGGTGGCATCGTAAGAGCATGAGCTCACCTGTTCTCCCATAACTCATTATCTTCCTCTTCCTTCCCCTCGCCCCCCCCACCTTCCCATCCCTCCCCTAGCCTTTCGCTCACTCATTCCTCGGCCCTTGCATGCCCCTGAGTAAACGCACCGCGTATTAATATAAATTAAGATAAGGGTGGCTTTGGCATAACAGAGGCCTTCATCCAGCAGTGGAGAGACAATATCGATTTGACAATATTTTTTTCTTACTTAATGCGGTGATTAGCAATGCCTCCAGTGGCTGCAGGGGAACAGAGGGTTAAACCCATGTACTGTACACACAAAAGCCAAAGACCCCGTGTAGCCTTAACAGACTATTGTGGCAAGTGCTGTTAGCGAGCAGCGATGAAAGCTGACATGGCGCACGAGGGGGTGGGTGGCCAGCTACCAAGCCCGGCCGCCTTTGTCTCCCCAGTGGCGATGTTTACACATCGCACCAGGTTCTCATTTGAGGCCGAGTCGACCTACGGAGGCACAGGACCGGTTCAGATAATCGTCACTGGTGTTGACCGTGAGCAAAAATCCAACTCAGTTTGCCAGGTTTATAGCGTGGCGCACTAACCGCTACACTACCGCTCCCCAAGACACTGTACACACAACACACGTGTAAACAAACAACATCATTTGCGGTCCTTTGTCAGTCCACTGCTCGATGATATTGCAGTTTGATTTGAGATAGCGGATGGAGGAACTGAATGAGTGCTGCTTGAAGAATACAAAAGTGGTGGGCACTGGGAAACAGAAAAAGGAGGGGGGTGTGGAATGCGTCCGAGACGGGGAGATGGAGCGACGAAAATCAGCTTCTGTGCTGGGTCTAGCATTTGGTAGATTGCAGTGATTGGATTAACTACGTACATGCACGTGTAAACGTATGAATATAAATGTATTTTAAAAGAGAACCCTTGGCGATAGAGAGCATCACAACAACAAACACCGACGATGAATCCAACGGACTTGGAGGTATTTGACAGAGCCATAATGAATTCCAGGAAAGATTAGTCACCCAGCCTCAGGGCCTAAACCCAGGATCTCCACCATGCGCCAGCTCAGTGCTTAGACATGGCCATCATGAATCCTGTGTGCGGTGCGCTGCGATGGCTCACGGGATATGTTAGTGACTTGTGTCTCTCTTACCAGGTAAGGCCCACTGAGCTATATAGCTCGTTTTTAGAAGCGACCTGGTTACAAATGATAACTCAACGAAGTGGCTTATCACATGGAAATGTATAGCAGCCACATACTCTAAACTCAAAACACAACAATAGATTCCTAGAGCGCTTTTCTACCAGGTACTCAAGGCACTGGAACACCATGAAACAAACATCATAGTTCAAGTCGAAGAAAAAACTAAGAAGATCGAGAGAAGCCAATTCAGTGCACCACACCGCCGCCATCTCCCAATCACAACAACACCGGGTACTCGTTCAACAGCCAGGGCGGGAACGCATTTGCGGCCACCACCAGCAACGGGGAAAAGCAACGCCTTCCGGACGGTCACGCAATACGGCGTAGTATCGTCGCAATTATTGGCTCGGGCCATCCTCCCTGGACGCACCTGCCCTGCGTGTCCTCCATGGCCAGCACGTAGTGCGTGGGCTCCGCGATCGACCCTCCCGCCGCCACTGCCACGGCCGCGGCGGCCGCGCCCCCGGTGGCCGGGCGGCCCAGGCTCTCGCCCCAGCGCAGCTTGAGGCTGTGGGGTCCCGGCGGGGCGCACTCGAGGCGCGGAGGCGCCGGCGGCTGGGGCCTCGTTCGGCCCACGGCACGGGCTCCCAGCGGCCCCGCGCCCAGCGCGTTCACGGCCTGCACGCGCACGCTGAGGGCGGAACGGGCAGAAACGGGGCGGGTCAAAATTGCGGAACGAATGGACGAACGGGACGGATAAACGGAAGGATGGGCAGACCGACGGATGGAGTGGCTAGAACCGATAGACGGACGGAGTGCATGGAACGCATGAACGTAACAGACGGATGGATCGACAGATAGACAGATCATGCGATAGAAGTACAGAACAAATTGTACAGGCAGACGAATAGACCAATGAATCGCCAGATGGATGACAGATGGGAAAGACTGGCAGATGGAATGGATGGATTAAACTGATGGAAACAATTAAACATATAGAACAGATGGACAAATGGAAGAGATGGACGGATGGATGGACGACAGATGGAATGTTAGTAACAAACGGACAGATGGAACAGACAGATGGACACTGGCAGACAGTCGATGAAGGAGCGGGATGAGTGATGAAGGAGCGGGGATGAGTGATGAAGGTGCGAGAGGTCACCGCGGAGGAGTGAGATGCGGTGTAATTGGCGGCGACGCAGGATTGGAGACAAAAGGGAAAAGATCGGCAATAGCAGGGACGTGGGCAGAGGGCGAGGGAGGAGAGCCGGGTGCGGTGTTGGGATCGGGGGCAGAGGAGAAATACGAGGAGAGGGAGAGGTCAGAGGTAAAAGGGGCACCCCCACAAGTTATGATGAGTGAAGATAGAACACAAAGCGGCCAAGGCACAGATAATGGATAACTTCATTTCAGTTGCAGCTCGCGACAATATCTGATGGGGTTTTAAAACTGTTTACGAACCAATGGAAATTCAAAGACGCCAACCGAGTTATGGGAGACTTAGCTGGGACACATGACGAGGTGGCTTTCCCTTCTTCCTCTATCACCCCCCCACTGCCCCCCCCATGTTATATATCCACCCACAGAGCAGCAGCCCACTGCTCATGCAGCCACACCCACTACTCACATAGCCCCTGCCCACTACTTGGGTAGCTCCACCCACTGCTTAAGCAACCCCACCCAATTCTCAGGTATCCCCATTCTCTTTACAGGGACTCCTCTACTTACGAACCAGTTAGGTTTCAGAGATGTGTTCGTATGTCGATTTGTTCGTCATGTGATACAGGTATCCCCATTCTCTTTACAGGGACTCCTCTACTTACGAACCAGTTAGGTTTCAGAGATGTGTTCGTATGTCGATTTGTTCGCAAGTGCAATTTCAAACGTGTTGTACGGCATGCACACTAAACACGGGGAATGGCTTTAAAAGTGAATCTCCTGTAGATGTAGATGCCACTAGCTGTTCTTACTACCACCCTCAACACTTTCACCACTCTTATGCTTCTGAGACGCAATGGGGGTTGATAATGTTCGTGAAAAGCAGAGAACGTCGTAGTGAACCGCACAGCGACAACACAACAACAGACGATAGCGGCGGCCTAGGCAGAAATGCTGGGAATGCTGGGTAATGACACCGAACAGGCAACTGGACATACGGACACGTTTGTTCGTATCTCTGAAAGCTTGCAAGTCGAATGTTCATAAGTAGAGTGGTCCCTGTACACAGGATTACTACAATAAGGGAGCCTTTCATCCAGCAGTGAATTGATCATGGCCAATTGCGACGATGATAACAAGTGTCTCATTGTATTGTACCTGTACTCGGTGTCCGGTTGCAGGTTTCGTATCACATGACGTGTGTTGGCTCCGCCCCTGACAGACAGCAGCGGCCACGCCTTCTCCGCTGACCCTTCCCCCTCCATCTGTCCTCGGCCAATCAGGTGTAGGGTGTATCCCAGAATCGGTGCGCCATTGGAGGGCGGAGCCTCCCAGCCGGCCAATAGGCAGGTGGAGGGTGGTGAAGCCTGGGACTCAACCTGCAATGCAACATGGGTAGCTATTACCTAATTGCCTGATGTTGAAACGGGTGTGACAGTTTAAGCTAAGGTCCATGAACGTTATAAAATTAACGCGTGGTTAATAGTGTGAGTGTATTAACCGTAAAATACGCGCTCTGTCTGGTTCAAGGTAGAAAACGAGCGTTGTGGGCCGGCATCATGGCACAATCTTGCCAAAGTTGAAAAAAAGACTCCACACTAACGGAAAACCTTGCCAAAGAACCGGGGGTTACGCTCCGGGAAAATGCCTCATTGGGCAAAACCGTGTTCGACAAATCATAGGACCTTATGGGAAAAAAAGGAGGGTTTGCATTCCTAGGTCTGAAATGATCACCTCCTGCCTCTTTGTTCAACTAATTTTTCACGATTTCCGCCCTTGTTATTGCACTAAGGGATGCCGAGAGTCAGTTTCCATTTTCCCAATGCGCTACCCCCTTGCTGTCGAGCAAGCGCCCACCGTGTTATGATTCAGAGATGGCGGCAGTGTGGTTCAAGGCCCTAGAGACGCGCGTTTGTCCTCTCTCTCGCTTTTAGTTCACCGAATTAGTTTCTCCCGAATCTTCACCTCAACACAAAAACCCCCCGTCGTCCCCTCTTTACTCTTCCTGCACCGCGGCCACTTGCGCCCAATGCTTGCCCCCCACCCCCGACACCAAATTGCCATCCCAATTGCTTGCCCATGAACAGTCACTTGAACGTTAACGATTACGTGTGCGAGCATTATCGCCCAGAAAAAACCCCACAAAAAAATACACAAAAAAAAAGCATAGATGGTAAATCTATAGTTTAACACGTAGGCTGTCGCGACCAATATTGCCCATAATAAGAGGCTTTTTAGGTTAGATTGCATAAATATAAATGCGTCGTTAAACCAGCCACCACCCAACACAGCCAATTAGTAAGGTTTGTAATTTTAACAAAACATGCCAATTCATTACGAGCAGAGCACACCGGTGCGTTGGAGAGTAAACCCACGACATTTACAATTCGGGTACGACGTTTCACCAGTAAATACAACCAGCATCATCAGGTGACAGCCAGATCTGTGGAAAAATCCTCCTCCTGTTTCAGTCTTCAATAAAGGGATATATGTGATGTCATCACTTGTGAGCCAATCAGGTGCGAGGGCCAGAGGGTGGGGGGGGGGGATAACTTATGCATATACACGTGGAGATGATAATGTTATAGCGGCGTAAAAAACACGTAGGGGGCGAAGCATCACGCCCCCGCGTTCCGGAAAGCAGACCTCATTCAGTAAACTGTTGCTTATAGCCGACACGCACGGTCGATAAAGACGTATGTGGCCAGGTTTCCCTGTACTTAATTGAGGGAAAAACACAGCAATTGTCACCACATACTGGTAAAACAAAAAAACTTTACAGGACTCTTCCTGGAGAAGAGTCTTGAGACTCGCTAATGTCGCTGGGTGGGCCTTGTGCGAGCATCCCGTCGCTGCCGTCTCACCGGTGCATTGAGTGGTCCTGGGTCTCCATTAGGTTGACTCAGCCTTAAATTAACACGCGGTGCAATGCGTGAACATCGGCACTGGAAAGGCAAATGAGGACGGGTGTGGGTCTGGCCACACCACCACAACCTCGTGCGGCGTTCCGGCCCTCATAGACGCTCGCCCCAACAGTCTGTATGGCTACACGGGAGACCTTTGTGTTTTTTCACGAGCACGTAATGTTTTCAATTTGGGTTGACGAGGGGCGAGGCCGGCCATACCTCCAGCGGCGCTCCCTCCGCAGACCCCAACTTCTCCTCCTCTGGGTCCATCAGGCGGAGTGACGGAACCGCGCCAGGCACCCAGGCCGGAGTCACGTAGACGCCCTCGGTGCTGAAAGGACCCGGCCCCACCGCATTCACCGCCTCGACAAGTTGCAGATGAAAGGTGGTGGGGGAGGGGGCGGAAACAAATAAATAAGAAATCATAATCGTAAAACACAGTGCAAAATTTAAAAAGGAAACCTTTTGACACACATGCCGACAGAAAACAATTCATGCGTTTGTTCGTCCCTACGTGGAGTGACGGGCGACGCGCGGATTTATAGAAATGCGCCGATCGTGACGACGGCGACGGCGGCCGGGGCCGCGACCTCGCGTCCGACAAAAACAACAAAAAACGCGCGACGGACGGTACGCGTCCAAGGACAACCTGCAGCATCGATCCTGGCACATTGTCACTCCCGTTGCGCCGGTATTGAGATATATTTAATTTAATGCTTTCCCAACCGAGGTTTGTAGTAAATGCCATCTGGTTCGTCTGTCCACCCGTCCGTCCATCCATCCGTAATGGAGATGGGCGAAAAGATCACTCTGGTGAACGTCATCCAATACGAGCAGAACCATGGCAGGGAGTCGTGGTGCCATCAGGTACTTAACATATAGAAAACGGGAAAAATTTACCATGGGGGGGGGGGGTTGCACAAAATTTGGGGACAGAACCCAGAGCAACGACTACTATTTGAAAATATGCAGAGACGCTTTTCGCCCCGAAAGCGTGGCGCAGGATTTTTCCTCCGACGGGGAGAAGCGGCCCAAGCGGGACCCCATTCAAACCTCATACCCCCTCCCCCCCACCCCCTGTACCTCCCCTCCCCCCGCCCCACCACCACCTCATAACCTCGCGCCAAAAGACTGACCTCTCACCCCAGAGGTCGCGAGCAATCATTACCGCGTTATTACCTTCACGAGCGAACACAGCGGCCGCCATCGCCACGCTCCGAGGTAACGGATCCCTCAAATTGATTTGGTTGGAGCGTCGCGAAACCACGGCGTATACGTGCGTGCGAGAACAAGGGCGCGCGAGCTCCAGCGAGAGCCACACGCCTGCGTTGGCGAGTGAGCGCGTGCGCATGTTCGCGAGCGCGTCGGCGGATAAAACGAGCACGTTGATGAGGGAGCCAGCGAGTGAGCGAGCGCCCGCGCGCAGTTGAGCGAGCGCTGTAGGTGAGATAGACGGCGCGCGTTGGTAAATTTCACAGAGCGGGCGAATCTGTTGGCGAGTGAGCGTGCGCGTTCCGAGGACGCGTTGGCGAGAGTTGAGCCAGTGCGTTGCTCGAGTTAACGAGCGAGTCTGCGGGTGAGACAGTGAGCGAGCGAGCGAGCGAGCTGCCAGTCTGTGAGTCACCTGCACGCGGCAGTAGTAGTGCGTGGCAGGCACCAGCCCGTGCACCTCGTAGCTCCGTTGGAGGCCGCAGTAGACGGGACGGAACAGATCCCCAGTTCCGCGCCACTCCAGGCGGTACTCGGAACACTCCGCTCCATTGCACTCCGTCTCCTTATAAGGCGTCGTGGGGGGGGGGGGGGGTACAGTGACCCTTTAAATGAAAACCTCACAGTGGCCGAGCAGGGCCAAGCCACAGATTCTCCAAGTGAAGCCATCCCCAGGTTAAAAACTCGCGAGCGAATGCAGTTTGTACAGGGAACATCGCGAGCGGTCGACACACGGACGGGTGAGGGCGTCAGTGAGTGCGTAAGCGAGGGATAGATGGACGAGCGAACGAGCGAGTTTGGGTATGGGAAATTAGAGTTGGGGTTTGTCACGGTACAAGATAGGTGGCATTTGAGAAGCGATATGGTTTGAGCTGTGGTAACAGCCAAGGTTGGGGCTATAGTAAGGGTTAAACTATTAAACTAAACTATTTGTTTTTATTTTACCGGGTAAGGCCCACTGAGCTATGTAGCTTTTTTTCAGAAGCGACATGGCCACAAATGACAGCTCAACGAAGTGGTTTATCACGTGGAAATGTCACGTGTATCGCAGCCAAATACTCGAAACGCGCGACGTTGATTCTCAAATGTGGAGGAAAAAACCGGAGGACCCGGAGAAAAATCCACGCGACCACGGGGGAGAGAGAGACACCGCAAACTCCACATATACAGCAGCAGGCGTCAGGATCGGGATCGAACCCACGACCTCCTGTATGCTAGGCGAGGGAGTTAACATCTTCTAGCCACCGTGGCGCCAGGGTAGTGGCCATGGTAAACACTGGGCGCGAGCGTGGGGGCCGAGGGCGAGCACGCGGTCGTGGAACGTCTTGTTGTTGTTCTCTCTCTCCGTTATCGACGGGAGTTCATTTCTCCACGCGATGGGGGCTGCCTTTGCGGGCATGGGAAAAACAGCGAGGGCTCCGATGAACGCCTCCCGCTGCCCACACCTGACCCCACCGCGCCGGCTCTTTCTCGCTCACGATGCAGGCCGCTGCCCGCGATTCATCACGGTAACAATGAAGGTCGTGCGGGTGGCGCAGGTAAAAGGGTCGATGCGGTTACGTCACAGGATTACGGGGAGACCGTGACGGTGCGGGCAGGGACTTCGTCCAGCAGTGGCAAGGCAAATGGCTGATGAGTGGCGATACACGGAGACAAAGACGCAGACAAGAGGGTGGAGGAGAGAAAGAGACACAGAGAATTGTGGGGAAGCTAAACGAGTTGGCACTCCGTGCCCACGTCGTGCATGAGGTGGTGGCCCTGATGGTACAGAGAGACACAAAAGACAAAGATCCCCCATATAACCTTAACGGACTGTTAGGGCAAGAGCTGTTAGGGAGCACCTATGAAGTTCGGCGCGGCACACGAGGCGGCGGTGGCCAACGCCAGACCAACTTCGTCTCCCCAGTGCTGATGTTTACACCACCGCACCTGATACTCATTTCAGGCCGAGTAAACCTAGGGGAGGCCTAAAACCGAGACCGGTTCAAATATTTGTCACTGTTATTGGTCGCGAGCGGGAAGTGAACTCGGATCGCCAGGCTCATAGCGCGGTGCGGGAAACCACCACACGGCCGCTCCCCACAGAGAGAGAGAGAGAGCCACACACGGACACGGAGATACACGGACAGAGGAGGAGAGACGTGGGAGAGGATTCCGAAATAAATTGGCACAGGCATCCCTGTGTCCACGTTGTACAGGAGAAGATGGCTCTGGAGGATGAGCACCGTGGCCTATAGTGCCTCGGGTTGGGGAGGGACGAGGAGGGGGGGGCAGTGGGGGGTGGGGGGGACGAGGGGGGGGGGGCAGTGGGGGGAGCCCACTCACCTCCCAGCACACGGAGGCACAGGTGGCGTGCACGGAGGTGACAACGGGCGTCGAGCAGCGTGCGGGGCACGAGGCTGCGGTCCGGAACTCGGAGAACTCCGAAAACTCCCCGTGCTGTGGAATGTACCGCCAACGCAAAGACAAAGGTCCCCGGTGTAGCCTTTAAACAGACTTTGAGGGGCAAGTGCTGTTAGCGAGCACCTATGGAGGCCGGGAGAGCACACTCCCTTAGTGAGCGATGTTTACACGCCGCACCAGGTACTCATTTGAAGCCGATTATGCACATGGACATATACACACACTGGTAATACATGTACACAGATGACCGTACAAGTGGATATACAGGCAGATGATAAACAGACACGCGGGCACACAGGCGCACACGCACCTCAACGTAGACACAGAACCAACTGACGTGGACCGATCGACGCACGCGGACACACACGCTCGCACGCGTGCGCACGGAACGGTGACCGTCGGCACTGACCCCGGCGGAGTTGGTGGCTCGCACGCGCACGGTGTAGACGCGGCCCGGCAGGAGGCTCTCCAGCACGCACTCCGTGTCGGGGCCCACGTACGCCGCCGTCGCCGCGTCGTCCGTCCCCTCCGCCGCTCCGGCCTCCGCCGGCTGCTTCTGCTGCCCCTCCGCCGCCTCCTCTGCCTCGCCGTCGTCGCCGTCGTCGCCGTCGTCGCCGCCGTCCTCGTCGTCGCCGTCGTCGCCCTCCTCGTCCTCCGAGACGGGCGCCGCGGGCCGCATTTCCAGGCGGTAGCAGCTGACGGGCGCCCCGCCGTCGTGGCCGGGCGCGGCTGTGGGAGACGCCGCTCGTCACCGGCTCGCGCCAAATCCAATCCGACCCTCGCGCGGGCCCGTTGGCGGCCCGGCCGCGGCCGCCAGCCGCACGTGTACGTCTCCACGGATCGACGCGCGCGACCTCGTCGTGCCAATGTACACGATCGACGTATGGTCAAGATGCGCGTTCGCGTTCGCGTCGATAAATACGTCCGTGCGCGTTTATCGATGCGCGGGCGTACATATCGACATACGGACGCGTGCATCGGCGCGCGTGTCGGCGTGTGGGTGTGGGTGTGGGTGTGCGTGTGGGTGTGGGTGTGCGTGTGGGTGTGGGTGTGGGTGTGCGTGTGGGTGTGGGTGTGCGTGTGGGTGTGCGTGTGGGTGTGGGTGTGCGTGTGGGTGTGCGTGTGGGTGTGCGTGTGGGTGTGCGTGTGGGTGTGGGTGTGCGTGTGGGTGTGGATGTGCGTGTGGGTGTGCGTGTGGGTGTGGATGTGCGTGTGGGTGTGGGTGTGCGTGCACCCCCCCCCAGGCTCACCCCATCGCAGGTGAAGCTGCTCGGGCTCGGGGGCCTTTGCGAGGTCGGGGGGGCAGCACTTGCCAGGCGCCACCGCCGGCGTCTCCACGGCGAGCAGCTCGGAGCACTGGCGTCGGCACGGACAAAGACAAGGGTGCACCCCCACCGTGTAGCCTTTTACAGACAGCCGGGGCAAGTGCCGTGAGTGGGAGTGGCGACCTGTGAAGGCCGGCACGGCACCCGCTGGGGTTAGGTGCGGCCAGCGTCAACAGCTGGGTCGGCCCGCCCGAAGTGACGCCGCCGTTCACTCCACACCCCCACCGGGTGCTCATTTGAGGCCGAGCTTGACCGAGGGTAGAGAGGGCCCAAGACCGGTTCAGATTAATCGTCATCGGTGCTGGTGACCGTGAGCGGGAATTGAACTCATTTCGCCGGGATCGCAGTGCAGCACGCGCTAGCAGCTACAGTACCGCTCGGCATGGAGGCAGACACACAAAGATCCCCCCCTGCGTAGCCTTTAACAGACTGCAAGGGCAAATGCTAGTATAGCCAGCATCACCTATGAAGGCCAACACAGCGCAGTGAGAAGGTGGGTGGTGTGGTTAGCACCACGCCATATCGTCGCCCCACTGCTGATGTTTACACACTGCACCAGGTACGCATTTAAGAGGAGTTAAAGCTAGGGGAGGCCCAAAACCGGATCAGCTATTCTATTGATAGCCGATATTGGCCGGAAGCGGGAATCTGAGTCGGGTTCGTGGGCGGTTTGGTCGGAGTGTGTGGATGAGTGGCCTTCATCTAGCAGTGGATGAAGGCCACTCATCCTGATGACGATAATGAGGAGTAACTGGCGCATGATGATAGGAAATCACGTGACGTTCGTCAGGGGGTGGGGGCATGTGGGATGACGGGGTCACGGTGATACGACAAGGTCATAGTTCACAAGTCATGTGTGGGGGGGGGGTTACCTGGCTGGTGCCGCCCGCGGTCACGCAGGTCACGCGGAGACGGTAGAGGGAGCCCGGGGAGGCCGTGGTGAACGTGTGCTCACGGTCCAGACCAGTGTAGACCACGCGCCAGTCGCCCGCCACCCCTGCTGATGGCACACAAGGGGAGGGCCAACGCTCTAGCTCCGTGCAGAGAGCCGCCAGCTCGCTCGCCCATTCACTCACCAGGCAGCTCGCTCGCCCGCTCGCCCATTCACTCTCCAGGCAGCTCACTTGCTCGCTCGCCAATTCACTCACCAGGCAGCTCGCTTGCTCGCTCGCCCATTCACCCACCAGGCAGCTCGCTCGCTCGCCCATTCACCCACCAGGCAGCTCGCTCGCTCGCCCATTCACCCACCAGGCAGCTCGCTCGCCCATTCACTCACCAGGCAGTTCGCTCGCTCGCCCATTCACTCACCAGGCAGTTCGCTCGCTCGCCCATTCACTCACCAGGCAGTTCGCTCGCTCGCCCATTCACTCACCAGGCAGCTCGCTCGCTCGCCCATTCACTCACCAGGCAGTTCGCTCGCTCGCCCATTCACTCACCAGGCAGCTCGCTCGATCGCCCATTCACTCACCAGGCAGCTCGCTCGCTCGCCCATTCACTCACCGGGCAGCTCGCTCGCTCGCCCATTCACTCACCGGGCAGCTCGCTCACTCGTCCATTCACTCACAAGGTCGCTCACCTATTCACTCACCAGCCAGCTCACTCGCCCACTCACACGCCAGCTAGCTTGCTCGCCCATCTACTCACCAGATCTGTCGCTCATTGATTAATTCACTCATCAGCTCGCTCAGCTATTCACTCACCCACACACTCACCCATCTCTCTCTCACTATATCTCTCTCATCATCTCACTCAACAGCCAGCTACGTCGAATCACACGTCTGTGTAAACATTTAGTATTTCTTTAAGAAATATTAAAACATCATAATCTGCGACTATTATAGAGAACCAGCAGTCATGGGCGGCTTAGTCGTGGTTTTTGTGACTCCTAAGTGACCATGGTGGAGTCACGGTGAATCCCACTGCAGGTCGCGGGTTCAATCTCCCGGGATGGGTGGCAGTTGAAACAATTCGGGGAGCTTATCAAATATTCTCACCTCTGTCCATCCAGCATTATAAACGGCTACAGGACATATTCTTAGCTCTTTCGGTAAAGTCACGTTGAAGGGCAATGGGCAATGCCACGTGATGGGTGGGGTAGTGTGAGTTACTCCTAGACACACACACACACGTGGACTGTTGAGGCGTGTGTTGTTATCGAGCCGCACCGATGAAGGCCGGCACATCACACGAGGGGGTGGGTGGCCAGCACCACGCCGGGCCGGCCTCCCCAGTGGCGATGTTTACACATCGTACCAGGGTACTCATTTGAGGCCGAGTCAACGATAGTGGAGGCCCACGACCGGTTCTCAAATGGTCGTCACCGGTGTTGGCCGTCAGCGGGAATCGAACACGGGTCACCAGGCTCGTTGCGTAGCGTAGCGCTGACCGCTCCCGCTCCCCCAAGACAAAGACACACACGCACAACCGAGACACTCTGGCCAAAACACGACAGTTTTCCACATTCCGTTCCCACAAAGCAGCGGAAGGAATCAGAAGGCACCGGAACATTCATTTTCCAAAGCAGGGCACCTCCTTAATCGGCCCAATTACTCACGAGTGGCTCGGCATCACTCGAGCACAATTACAAGTGCAGTCACGCCACATGTCGACCAGCGATTCCTGGAATCCGGGGACCTGCCCCCCCCCGACGGTTAATCACGACTTAATTGCCACAGGTACGATTGGTGGAGGCTCCATCCCGAGGGGGCATTTGACCCTCGACCTTCAGCGCCTTGGGGTGCGGGACAGAGGCAGCCCGGACGGGGTTGCCAGGCAACGGCAGCGGAAGAGCCGGGGGGCGGGCGGGAGAGGGAGGAGCAGAATGACGAAGGAGGAGGAGGAGGTGGGAGGTGAGGAGGAAGTGGAGGAGGAGGTGGGGGGTGAGGAGGAAGTGGAGGAGGAGGTGGGGGGTGAGGAGGAAGTGGAGGAGGAGGTGGGGGGGAAGTGGGGGAGGAGGTGGGGGGTGAGGGGGAGGTGGGGGGTGAGGAGGAAGTGGAGGAGGTGGGGGTGAGAAGGAAGTGGGAGAGGAGGTGGGGGGTGAGGAGGAAGTGGGAGAGGAGGTGGGGGGGTGAGGAGGAAGTGGGGGAGGAGGTGGGGGGGTGAGGGGGAGGTGGGGGAGGAGGTGGGGGGTGAGGAGGAAGTGGGGGAGGAGGTGGGAGAGAAGTGGGGGAGGAGGTGGGGGGGGAAGTGGGGGAGGAGGTGGGGGGGTGAGGGGGAAGTGGGGGAGGAGGTGGGAGAGAAGTGGGGGAGGAGATGGGGGGGGAAGTGGGGGAGGAGGTGGGGGTTGAGGGGGAGGTGGGGGAGGAGGTGGGGGGGAAGTGGGGGAGGAGGTGGGGGGTGAAGAGGAAGTGGGGGAGGAGGTGGGGGGTGAGGAGAAAGTGGAGGAGGAGGTGGGGGTTGAGGAGGATGTGGAGAGTGAGGGGGAGGCCGTGTCGGCTGCACCCGCAGGTTGATTTACAGACGAATGGGGTCAGTGCGGTCACCACCGCATCCTGCACATCACGCGTCGTCATCGCTGGCCACACGTGGTGGTGTTCTTCTTGCCGTGTGCCACCGGCGGTAACCGCCGAGTGTTTTATTACTCTCGCTGTTCAGAAAGATCTTGCGGAAGGCGATTCTCAGTCGCGAGAGCATGGCCACCCAAACGGGCAGCACCATCACGACCAGCCGTCCGGAATCATCTCCTGGAACACTCCTCCCTCTCCAACCCCCCCACCCCACCCACCATATTAACGAAGTGCATTCATTCGTCACGACTGCCAACCCAGTAAACGTGCCAAGGTTGTGGGCTCGTGCCGTCGGTCTGAACGTCGGGCCAACTTTCCACGCTTGCTGTCTCGTGTGCGACGACCACGGGCAAAAACGTAAAACGCGACCACTTCGACACCACACCCGTCGGGCACTCCTCCTCATCTGCCACAGGGTCCAGACGTACAAGTGCAATCCCCGCCACCGGGTGAGGACCCCCGCCAGCCTAGCCCGGGTACCGCGCTGAGGTTACGTACGCATTCAGCGGACACCCTGAGCACCCTTGAAAGAGGAGGAGGTCTCCAACCCCAGGGAGTGCGGGGGCAAAAAAAAAAAACATGGGGACGGGAAAATGACCAAAATCCGCTCACCGCTGGCGCTGCCCTCGGCCATCTCCAGCTGGTAGCGCATCACGTCCGCACCGCCGCTCTCCTTGGGTGGATCTACAGACGCAGAGCCACGCGGTCAGAGGGCGCACGAGCTGCAAACTGCTGCTGCTGATGATGATGGTGATGCGAAAGATGCTGCTGCCGATGCTGCCGATGCTGCCGATGCTGCCGATGATGATGCCGTTGCTGCTGATGCACATGGTGATGCCAACGATGCTGGTGTGTGCTGCTGCTGATGGTGCCGACGCTTACAACCGCTTGTGGCGGTGCAGCTGGCAGTGCCGGAGCTGCTGATGACAATGACGAAGATGATGATGACGATGATGATGATGATGGCGATGATGATGACGGCGCTGCTGCCGCCGACTACAAAATAGCGCCGGCGGCAGAGGCGGCGCAGTGCCCCCCCCCCCCCCCCCCCGCTGGCGCTCACCCCAGGCGGCGGTGAATCCGTGGGCCGTCGCGTCGCCACGAGCGTGCAGCCGGGCGGGCGGGCCGGGCCGGTCGGGCGCCGTGCTGAACGTCACCACGTCGCTGGGGCAGCTGCGTCCGTCCACCGAGCACGAGAACAACTTGGCGGGGGGGCAGGGGGAGGGGGAGCACGAGAAGGAAGGGGGGGAGGTTGTGGGGGGGGAGAGGGGGGGTGGAATCGAGTTCGGGCGCAGCACGGCAAACAGGATTGTGAACTCTCCCGCTGGTGCTTTTAGGGTTGTGCAGTGCATTGCTGGGCCCGATTTCTTTCCGATTATTTTACCGGCGTGCCGGGAGCTGCTTCGGAGCACCGACCACGGCACCGGCACGTCCAAATATTCCATTTCGACGGGTGATTGTATTCAGATAATTTATTTCGCTTGTTTACACAGGGAAGCCTAAAGCGGCACTCAAGACTCTTTTTCAGGAGCGTCTTGCCAGGTTTTCACAGCACCTTAGATCTGCTGCTGCTTCGTGACCGTGCCTTCCAGATCGCCCCCCCCCCCCCCCCCAGTCACATGACACCCGACCAGACAAAATCCGCGAGTTCAACCACTTCAAGCGAGACCTCAACTTTCATCGACATCCATCGAATGTCCACAGCATGACGAGACAGTAATGCTGCGCATTTGAGACGCTTTCAGCACCGTGTCGCTTTCTCAAATTACCCTTCACATTGTATGACGGTGGGGGGGCTGTTTCTGTGTGTAATCCGAATTGGGTCACTTGAAGGTTCAATCTCGATTTGAAGCTTTCGTGACTGCAGGAATCCATACTCTTTGGTTCCTTCGGTAAGCCTTCCCACCTGATGACGGACGCTTGTGTCGCGCCCGAAACGTCGTGATTTATTTCATTTTATACCTACGTGACTTTACCGAAAGAACCAAAGCGCACTTGAAGGTTCGTTGGCAAGCAGCAATCGCACCGTGTGTTTATTTGTTGTTTTGGCTTTTGGGTGGAAACAGGAAAAGCCGGAGAAGGCACCCGCAAAGCAGGGAGGAGAAAATACAGAGTCCACGCGGAAAGGGCGTCCCGAGTCTGGAATCGTCCCCAGGCCCTTCTTGCCATGAGGCGGGGTCGCACAGGTGTGCCACCACCGTGCCACCACCGTGCCACCACCGTGCCACCACCGTGCCACCACCGTGCCCCCTCTCCTCGATGCCGGCAAATCGTGAACGTGCAGACTTGAGACCCTTACCCTGAATCGATAGCGGGAGCCACGGCACAGGTTTCTGACCGTACAGCTCAGCTCCGTGCCCGTGTACCGCGCCTGGAACCCACAGATCTGCAAGACGAAAGACAAAGATGCTCTGTGTATAGCCTGAAAAGACTATTGGGACAAGTGCAATTAACAAGCACCTATGAAGGGCCGGCACAGACCCACGAGGGGGTGGGTGGCCAGCACCACCCCAGGCCGCCTTTGTCTCCCTAGTGGCGATGTTTACACACCGCACCAGCTACTCAGCTGAGTCGACCTAGGGGAGGCCCAGGACCGTTTAAAAATAATCGTTCATGCGCGGTAATCAAACTCGGGTTGCCGGTTCCAATGTGTAGCTCCCTGAACTACCGTTCTGCGCACACACACACGGACGTGCCACACGTACATAAGCACACACGTGCACACCACAAATGGGATGGGATTGAACAGGAACGTAGCATTACGCTCCCCCCCTTGACGCGAAAAAGATTGCTCATTCAAGCAGGTCCTAAAGTGTATTGAGTTGATGGACTCGGCCCGGTTGCCAATGACTCACGAAGAGTCACAGACCTACAAAGAGACAGATTCGCACGGACTTAATTAAACTGAAATCTCAAATGCCGCGCGAGTTGACGGTCTCACGCCGGGATTTTGGAAGTTGCTGCATTTTGGAGGAGGCGATGGGACGAGGAGGGGGGAGGGGAGGCCGTAGAGGAAGGAGAACGCTGCGAGAAAACCGTCGGTGATAATCGCTGCAACCGGGCGCCCGTCTCACCGGCACGTCCGCCTCCCCGACGCCGCCGCCTCGCTCCCTGGCCGCCCGCTCTTCTGCCTCCTGCTCCTCCTCCTCCTCTTCCATCTCGAGCAGGTAGGAGAGCGCGCCGTCGGACGAGGAGTCGTGCTGGGGGCGGGCCCACTGCAGGATGAGCCAGGACGGCGAGGCGCGGAGCAGCCGTGGCGGCGCGGGGCACGGGGGCGCGCTGCCCGACGTTTGGAAACACACCTCCTCGCTGAAGCCACTGCTCCACACGCACGCACGCACGCACGACCAGAGTTCCATTAGCAGCCACGGCTAAAATCGGTGGCAAGTGCCATCACAGTCGGCGTTAATTCGGCCGCGGTCGAGGCGACGGGTGTCAAAATTTGATTCCTGCGGCAAAATAAAGTCTTAAAGCTGTGGGTTTCACCGAGTTTAGGTTTGCCGTGCATTTGAGTGCGCGCTTGGCAGTGAAGACGTGTCCGTTGTCTCAACGCGTACGGTGGCATACGTGCCGGCGTCCCCGTTGCGCGTGCACGCACGACCGCGCGAGTTCGTCTAGTTGGGTGCGAGTCTGTCTCTGCGCGCATGGCGTGGGTGCTGCGTGCCCGCCCGCCCCACCTGGTGCCCAGGTCGTTGCGTGCCGCCAGCCGGAACGTGTAGCCCTGCGCCGGCTGCAGGCTGCCAAGCCGGCACTGCTTCTGCGAGCCGGAGTAACACTCCCGGAACGTGTTGCTCCGCTTGCCCTGCGTACGCGCGCACACACAAGGTGGGGGGGGAGGGGCAGCGGATCCTCCGGGGGTTGCTCGCGCGTCGCGTCGGGGCCGCCGCCCACCGATCCCCGTCTACGTTCCAAGGAACCGGCGGTTCCGCCGGCGGCGCGGCGCGCGATGATGCAGTATTGAGGCTGACCGGACCGCGAGCGGCAGCGGTGAACAGAAATGGTTCGCCGCCGCACACGGTCGGGCACGATTCTTGACGCGGCCGAGCGGCGGTGTTGTTTTCCGGCTGTTTGCGGTTCGAGGTTCGAGCCCCCGTGGGCTGCCCTGGTTAATACTGCGGTGCTGCGTATGAGCCGTGAACACCACGCGGCCGAGGTGCGGCGGACGTCGCTCGCAAGAGAGTGACAGCATGCCACGTGTACGCCGGCGTTGCAGTCCAAATTTGCCACATGCGGAAGATTAGACCGCTCGTTACTCAATCGGGAACACACCGCACTCATACTGTGAGACTACTGCAGGCTGTGTCCGCCTAGCGGGTCGGGTGGGAGGCTGCCTGCCCGCCCCCCTCCCCCCCCCAAGCATAGGTAAGAGGTCACTTGAGATTCCGGAAGCAGTTATGTGATACCTGTTGCTGCGGGCCACTACTCTTCAATCTCACGACACACCGCCGACAGCATGGTCAGGATAAAATGCTGGGAATGTTGGGAGAGAAGACTTAAAGGCTGCACCCCCTACATCCAGAACACACAATGTTAACAATGACACGGGTGCTGTGGATCCATTCCCCGATGCGCCGTCCCGCCAGCGCCCGCTCGCGGGATTTGCCAACGGGAAATCTTTTCGGCTCTCGCAACCGCAACACCCTAGGCCGGAATGAAACAAACAAAAAGGTGGCAAGGCGGCCGCCTCGCCCGGACCCCGTGGACAATTTCCTCCGATTATGGATTCGCGAACGATCGCTCCGCAAACGCAGCAAGGTGTGGGGGGGGGGGGGGGAGGGGGGACGGCGTGGCGGTCGATGCCGTGAGGTGCTACGCTTCATTAGGGCCAACACCGAGATACAAATTGGACCCCTGCCAGGTTTCACCGTGGTCGAATCGTCGGCGCGTTTGTCATATATTATGTGGTTTCGCTGAACCGAGTTTATTCCGATTTGCGCTATTGGCATTGTGTCCGTGAGATGAGGAATCTTTTCGGATCTCTTGCAGAGCGGCGCGGCCCATTTGTGCAAGCAATGGCCCGCGGAAGCGGATATCGCAGAACTTCCCCCTAAGTGACGTCTGGTTCCCACAATAGGGGGCAGCACCTGCCCTGCTGCCCTGACCATCAACCCCACTGCACTTGAGAACTCGTTTTATTGACAGGCGGCCGAAACTTGGATTCAAACCCAGAGTCTCGGAGGCAACGGGAGTGCGTGGACGGGAGGGGAGCGAGATGAGAGGGGAGTGAGCTAGGAGAGCGCGTGCAGGGGGAGAGGAAAGACCGACGCTCACCTCATCCCACTCGAGCAGGTATCCTGTGATCTTCGAGCCGTTGTCCAAGGGCGCCTTTGGGGAGGAACAGGCGCAGGAGAGACAAAGCGGGCGGGGGCGTGAGCACAGGGGGCTACGCGCGCTTGTCTAGGCCAAGAAAGGAGGCAGACGATGAGATGGAACGCGATAGAACCGAGAACACAGACAAGGTGGACCCGCATGAGGAAGAAGAGAACACAGACAAGGTGGACCCGCATGAGGAGGTGGAGGGGGGGAACAAATGAGATGGAATGACACAAGCGGGTGGTGGATTAAGAGGTTTGGGGTAGAGTTGGTAGTTCAGGGTGAGGGGTTCAGGTTTCAGGGTTGGTGGTTCAGGTTTGGGGTTGGTGGTTCAGGGATCAGGGTTGGTGGTTCAGGGATCAGGGGTTGGTGGTTCAGGGTTAGGGGTTTGTGGTTCAGGGTTTGGGGTTGGTGGTTCAGGGTTAAGGGTTGGTGGTTCAGCGATCAGGGTTGGTGGTTCAGGGATCGGGGTTGGTGGTTCAGGGTTAGGGGTTGGTGGTTCAGGGATCGGGGTTTGTGGTTCAGGGATCAGGGTTGGTGGTTAAGGGTTTGGGGTTGGTGGTTCAGGGTTAGGGGTTTGTGGTTCAAGGTTTGGGGTTGGTGGTTCAGGGATCAGGGTTGGTGGTTCAGGGATCAGGGTTGGTGGTTCAGGGATCAGGGTTGGTGGTTCAGGGTTAGGGGTTGGTGGTTCAGGGATCAGGGTTGGTGGTTCAGGGATCAGGGTTGGTGGCTCAGTGATCAGGGGTTGGTGGTTCAGGGTTAGGGGTTTGTGGTTCAGGGTTTGGGGTTGGTGGTTCAGGGTTCGGGGTTGGTGGTTCAAGGATCAGGGTTGGTGGTTCAGGGATCAGGGTTGGTGATTCAGGGTTTGGGGTTGGTGGTTCAGGGTTAGGGGTTGGTGGTTCAGGGTTCAGGGGGGGAGGGGGGTTGCGGCCGCCACCTTCCAGTGCAGCACGAGTGACGTCTTGTTACGCTGCGTGAGTCGGGGGGCCGCGGGGGTGTCGGGGACGCAGCCGTGCGTCGTGAAGCCCACGGAGTCCGAGCAGGAGCCCCTCGCCGACGCGCACACCGTGCTCACGCTGCACGCACACGCGCAACGCAAAGGTCCCCCGTGTAGCCTACACGGGCTGTTGGGGCAAGTGCCGTGAGCGAGCGCCCTCGAAGGCCGGCACGGCGCACGAGAGGGGGGTGCTCGTTTTAAGGCCGAGTCGACCTAGGGAAGTCCCAGGACAGAGTCGGATAATCGCCGCCACCTGTCATTGGCCACGAGCGCAGAATCCGTCTCGGGTCGACGGCTTCAGAGCGCTGTGCGCGCTAACCACTGCGCCACCGCTCCCCACCGCTCGGTGCACGCACGTGGGCGAGCTGGCAAGGTCACGGGGGCGCTCGCTTTCGAGCGTCGAACCGGTGCCTTATTCCACAGTGAAGCCACGCAAGTTTTACAACGCCAAGCCAAGTCCTCGCTTGGCACGTGTTCACACAACGGGGTTGTTGCAGTAAGAGCTCGTGTACGAGGGAAACAGTTTTTTGTTCACGACGCCGCGGACCGTGCCCGTTATTAATCGCGGATCGCGAGCGGCCGACGACAAACTACAGCACTGTTACTTTCTTGAGCGGTGCGTAGGAATTCTGGGTACACGCTCAGGTCTTCATCCCCACCATCTCCCTGCGTGCGCTTATGTCTCCCCTTGCACCCACAACCCCACCCCCCCGTCACAACACACGGGTGGCGTTCATTCCGACGGATACATTGTGCACGCTTAACGAGGCGCTTTAAAGGAACACATCTACCGGGAGGAATTGCTGAACATCGCCAGGACACTCACGGCACACCGCATCCAGTACGCATCCCACGACTAAATCACGGGGAGACGTTCAGCGAGTGAGAAATGCGGCCCCCTGTCCCGCTGCGGCCAAACGCTTCGCTAAACTCCCACCGAGCCAAGCGAGGGCAGCACAAGGGGGGGGGTGGGGGGGCACCCACCGGACGTGGTAGTCGGTGGCCGGCCGCAGGTCCCGCACGCAGATCTCACGGTCTTCTCCACTGTCGGGCAAAGCGTCGGGGCGGTGGGGGCAGGGAGGGGGGGCGACACCCAGAATTAGGAGGGTACAGAGGCGACCGCCACCCCTTGTCGGGTCCAAGGCGTCTGTTCACCGCTGCTGCTCCTCCACAGCGCAGCAGCAGCAGCAGCAGTCGGCGGTCACCTTTAGGGAGCGGTGATGACGACGCTGCAGCGTGCGCGAGTGCATGGCCGGGTGTGACTAGGCGGCCGTGTGAAACGTGGAAGGAGCATCGCGGGGCAAGTATGATGCGCCATACGGCTGGCAGAGATACCGCCAGCGCTCCCCCCCCCGCTACTCTCCTACCTCTCCACGCGTGTGCACACACACGCAGGGGCAAAAAATATTCCTGATCCGCTCAACGACTTCAGGACTCTCTATGGACTCGCCATCACTTACCTCTCCCCTCTCACCCCACTCTGCACCCCTCCACGCACTCTCCTACCTCTCACCTCACTCTACTCCCCTTCACATTGTCCCACCTCTCCCCTCTCATCTCACTACTTCCCCTCCCCCTCTCCCCGTGAGTCTGCGGGTCTCGACAGGAGGAGTCCAGGGGGTTCCCCCGTACGGGCGACCGTGCGGGCGATCTGCTCCGCACCGCGCTCGCCCCGCGTGCGAGCCGCCCCCTACCTGTAGATGACCTGGTAGGCCCCGGCGCCGCCCGACTCCGAGATGGACACCTCGTAGCGGCGGGGGCACGGCGGCGAGTGCAGCGGGGAGCCCCCTCCGCCCCCGCCGGGGCAAGGACGGTGGCCGTTGGTGATGGGCGGAGGAGCCGGCGGCGACCAGGAGAGCAGCGCCGACCGCGCCTGCACGTTCGTCACCTGCGGCGGTCGCGCCCCCGACACCGGACTCTCGTTAGGAGCGGCCGCGACACCGTTCGGGATCGCGAGTCGATCGGCCTAAGGGTCCCCGGGACGCCCGCCTGTTCGGCGCTCGCCGACCCGGTGCGGCCAGCGCCACGCTCAGCCGGTGCCGATGCTCGTCAAACGGTACCGAGCGCTCGAGCGAGGACCGGTGGGGGACTGGGGGGAGGGGGGAGCGCCCAGTACCGGTGTTCAGACGTCACGAGCGACACTCTCGCTCGCCGTCGCCCGGAATCTCACGCCGCTCGATGCGCCACCGGCTCCACCCGCGCCCCCCCCCCCCCCCCCCCCCCCCACTAATGCAACGACGTTTTGTCTCTCTCCACGAGGGTGGCCAAATAACCACGTGGTGGTGTGGGGGGGGGGGCGGGGGGGAGGGGTGTGGGGGGGGGTCACGGTCCACTCCTCCGCCGTGAACCGTTAGCGCGCAGCGGCAACGCCAAGAGAGTTGCGAACGAGGCGGTGCTGCCGAACGGCCGTGCGATTCAGGTTCCTGCGGGACCCTTGGCTCCAAGCGCTGGCGACGAGTGCTGCTGATGCTGCGCTGCTTGGCACGTGGTGGGCAGGTGGGGGATGTGTGGGGGTATCGGGAGTGCCGGGAGACTGCCGGCACAATCCCGCTTGCCGACCGACTCTCGCTCGTTATTTCGCCCACTCTTTTCACCCGTTTCGCTCACTCGCGCTCGCTCACCCTCCTTGCCCACCCGCTCAACCACTCACGCTCTTCACCTTCTCGCTCACTCACCTATTAATGCGCCCACTCACCTCGTCCGTTCACCAGCACACTATCTTGCTCACACGCCCTCCACCCTCCCGCCTTCCCATTGCCCCACACACGCAGAATTAAAAACGATTGAAAGAATGTTTTTTTTCGACCGGGTAAAGCTCGCCGAGCTCTTCATAGCTCTGTTGCAGAAACATCCTGGCCACAAATGATAGCTCAACAAAGTGGCTTATCAACACGTAAAAAAATGTTCGCAGCCAAATACTCTAAACGCACGTTTCTAAATGTGGAGGGAAAAAACCGGAGGACCCGGAGAAAAATCCACGCAACCGTGGGGAGAGAGAGAGACACGCGAACTCCAAATATACAGCAGGCAGACAGGGTCGGGATCGAATCCACGACCCTCCTGCATACCAGGCGGGGGAGATAACATCTCATAGCCACCGTGGAGCCCCTTTTTGCAGGAGGCACAAACGAAATCCATCTGGAGCAACCGGCTGGCCATCACCCAACCCAGTAATATATATACAGTTATCACCTTGGCTCCATCTCTTTTCAAGCCTCAACGCGAGAGAAAGAAGGTGGAATTGTCGAGCGCTTGCGCCAACTGCAGTGCCCGCATGGCCGCCACGCACGGGGGGCAACACCGGCTTCCAGGCGTTGCACACACACACAAAAAAACACGGCCCTGTAACGCTCGGGCGAGCGAGAATGGTGACTCGCCACCAGTTGAGGCTTTGGGAAAGTCGCCACCCTTTGCCACCTTCGTCATTGGTTACACGGCCGGGGAGAGTTTTGGGGTGCCGTGATGGCTAGGAGGTCATCTTTGCGTCTTTCGGTAAAGTCACGTAGATAGAAATTTTTTAAAAGCGAGTAAAAATATAAAATAATACAAATAAAATCAAAATAATAAAAAACAAAAATACTTAAATAGACTGTAGCCTGGTTCTTAACCTCGGTTAGTGTACTGGCAGTCTATAATGTAGACTGTAGCCTGGTTCTTAACCTCGGTGAGTGTACTGGCAGTCTATAATGTAGACTGTAGCCTGGTTCTTAACCTCGGTGAGTGTACTGGCAGTCTATAATGTAGACTGTAGCCTGCTTCTTAACCTCGGTGAGTGTACTGGCAGTCTATAATGTAGACTGTAGCCTGGTTCTTAACCTGAGTGAGTGTACTGGCAGTCTATAATGTAGACTGTAGCCTGGTTTTTAACCTCGGTGAGTGTACTGACAGTCTATAATGTAGACTCTAGCCTGGTTCTTAACCTCGGTGAGTGTACTGGCAGTCTATAATGTAGACTGTAGCCTGGTTCTTAACCTCGGTGAGTGTACTGGCAGTCTATAATGTAGACTGTAGCCTGGTTATTAGTCGGAGTGAGTGTACTGGCAGTCTATAATGTAGACTGTAGCTTGGTTTTTAACCTCGGTGAGTGTACTGGCAGTCTATAATGTTTTTTTCGGTAAAATAATCAAAATAAAATATAATTTTACCAAAAGAACCAAAGAATAAGTCTACATTATAGACTGCCAATATGCTCACTCAGGTTAGAACCAGGCTACAAAGCGAACCCCTGCCACTCCCCCCCCCCCAAATATAGAAGTCGAACTCCGCCTGTGGTTACTATCATTGCTCCACCAGGTAGAGATGTAACATTTTCTTCTTTGGTTCTTTCGGTAAAGTCACGTAGAAGGAGAATACAATAATAAAATAACACAATAAAATTCTCACGACGTGCGTTGTGGCCGAAACGTCGTGAGAATTCTATTGTGTTATTTTATTATTGTATTCTCATTCTACGTGACTTTACCGAAAGAACCAAAGAAGATGAATCCTTACAGTCACGAAAGCTTCAAATCGAGACGTAACATTGCCTGTTATTTAAAAGCGCGGCATTTCTTTACGCACGAAGGCCTCGGCGAGTCTCAAGACTCATCCTGGAGCAGGGGGTGCTGCCAATCTTGCTTGTTTGGTCAATTCCACTGAACAAGCCTTTGGTAATGCACGTGTGTGTGGGGGGGTGGGGGGCAAACCCGTGCAAAAAAATATATAGTTACAGTTCGTGCAGATTTTTGAACCATGAGAAGGGCCTTCGCCCAAAACGTTGGCCCTAAAATATTTATACTTTCACGTCCGCGGTGTTGCCGACGAAGAGCGTCGAGACGTTGTTTGGCGACTGCTTTGCGCGCGCGGCAGCGGCAGTCACCAAACAGCACGCACTGGGGACGTGGAAGGCGTGCGGAGACTTGCAGCACCGCCATCTCCTGGCCACCACGGGGACCCGAACTCAACTCACCGGATCCCCACACACGCAGTGCGCTAACCCCGCACAGCCCCAAAGTAACAACGCTCCCTAAGTGATTGCTCATCAAGTCGACTAAAAAAAAAATTCTTACCCAGCGTCGATTCACGAAATGAATGCACGTTTTTGTTTCTCTTGTCCCATTGTTGCCGTCCGATTTTCCCTGTGTCCTCTTGCACCGCCCCGTTCCGTTCACCGGCCCTCGCCGTGAACGCGAGCCGATGCCATCATCATGAATCGGGGAAAAACAATCGATTCCGCTCGCGTGGAATCGTGAGCAGACGACGCATCGCCACGTGCCGAGCGGCTGCGTAACGACCGCGTGCGAAGGAATTCGAGACGAGTTACCTGCGGTCTTCCGATGGAACTCGCGGCGTCTTGCGGTTTTCTGAGTTCCACATCTGTCTCACCTGTACGTACACGCGCACGCAAACACACAATGTTAAGAAATAAACTGTTGGGAGCAAGTGCAGTTCAGCAAGTAGCACCTACAGCACCTGAATGGAGGCGGGGGTGGCCAGCATCAGGCCCGACCGCATTTGTCTCTCTACAGTGGCGATGTCTTACGCACCGTCCCAGGTACTCATTTGAGGCGAAGATGACCTAGGGGAGGCCCAGGATCGGTTCAGATAATCGTCACTGGGTCTTGGTCACCGGGTTCGAAGCGCAGTGCGCTTAACCACTGCACAACGGCCGCAATTCGTCAATAAGTTGGCAGCGACGTCCCCGACAAAGCTTGTGCCAGGCTAGGTGCACTTTGAGGCCGCGTGAAGTGCCGTAACACGTTGCGTCAATTAACTTCGGTGCCCTTCACAGACGCAGTGCGACCGTTCACGCCGGTGACCTAAGTTAGAGCCCCAGATGAGATCCCTGGAAACGGCCAATCATGTTGGCCCACACCGTGCCCAACTTGCGTCCTGTCACGAGGCGACTTCGTTGCCAAACTCTCGTGGGGGGGGGGGGGCAATGCGGGCCCCCCTCTGGAGTAGAACGAACGGCCCCGTGGGGGTGGACACATCGACGGGTTGATGGCTGCAACATTGCTAGGGCCACGTCGAGGGCCGGCGACGGCTAGCGGAAGAGGCCCCTCACCCCTCTTAACAACTTCGTCGTAGTCTTAGGGCTTTCGCGACCGATATTATCCATAGTAGAGGTTTGTTTGGGTTAGATCGCGTAAATGTATGCGTTGTTAAACCCGCGACCACCACGCGACACGGTCAATTAGTAAGGTTTGTCACGTAAACAAAACGTGGCCAATTCGTTACGAGTTCAGCACTCACTGGCCGTGTGTTGGAGAGTAAACCCACTACAACATTGACAATGATAGTGTGGTGTATAGTGTGGTGTATAGTGCGGTGTATAGTGCGGTGTAGCGTAGTATGTAGAGTATAGTGTAGTAAACCCACAACAACATTTACAATTCAAGTACCGTGACGTTTCGCCGGTAATTACAACAACAGTAGCCAGCCTCATAGGGCGACGGCCAGAGTTGTGGAGAGAGTTGCGGAAAAATCCTCCAGTATCGGTCTTAAGTCCAGCAGTGGATTGATCACGGCTGACAATTACGTGTGCCACATCAAGAGAGAGCCACGCCGTGTCCCGTCAAGCGGTTTAAGGCCGGCGCAACTGACTCAGAAGGTTCGGGGGGAGGGGGGGCATGAACCCACAAATCATAAAACCGCTGAGCACTGTGGGGCCGACGACAAACCCAGTAAACGTGGAACACGTGGGCCCAATGCTTGGCCCAATGCCTGGCCCAATGCTTGGCCCAATGCCTGGCCCAATGCTTGGCCCAATGCCTGGCCCAATGCCTGGCCCAATGCTTGGCCCAATGCTTGGCCCATACTTAACGCGGAGGGGGCAATCGCAGTTCCTCTTCCGAACCGAAAGAGGCCAGCAGAGGCCAAGACTGAAGCAATTCTCTCCTCGGGGGGGGGGGGGGGTGTGCACACTCCCCGTCCGTACCACCCCCCCATACACACCTCCCCACCCCCTCCCCGTAAACACGGTGCAACGTTAGCAGTGGCGAGGCGATGGAGCCCGCAGGCGTCGCACGCTCGACCCCCACCGCTCGGCCACGGGAAACAACGAAGACGACGAAGACCGCCGCACGGGCTCGGTCGGGTCCGCTGGGCTCGCTGCGCGCTCGCTTGCCTTTTCGCAAGTGGAAGGACGTCAAATTTGATTCACGATCGGGGAGAAAAACGTCCGACCCGTTCCAAGTTGACGATGCTTTTGTGATATATTCTTTTTGTAAAACCGCGACCCTTCGCACGGCTTCCTGAAAATGCGCGCGGCGTGGCATCTGGCTTGACAAACACATGGAGTTGGTTGCAAGGGGGCACGGGGAGAGAGAGAGAGGGAGGGAGACTATCGGCGGTGATTGTCTCTGCCTTTGAAGTGCGCCGGCCAGACTGGCCAGCCGCTGTGCCGGCTATCCCTGCCACGAGTGCACTTACGCACGCACTCACTCGCATACGCACGTATTCACTCACACACTCGCATACGCACGCACTCACTCACACACGCACGTATTCACTCACTCACGCATTCACACACGCACTCACACACACACGCACGCATTCACTCACTCACGCACTCACTCACACACGCACGCATTCACTCACACACTCACTTACACACGCACATATTCACTCACGCACTCACTCGCACACGCATTCACTCACGCACTCACTCACACGCACGAATTCACTCACACACTCACACACGCACGCATTCACTCACGCACTCACTCACACGCACGCATTCACTCACACACTCACTTACACACGCACGTATTCACTCACACACTCACTCGCACACGCATTCACTCACGCACTCACTCACACACGCACGCATTCACTCACACACTCACTTACACACGCACGTATTCACTCACACACTCATTCGCATATGCACGCACGCATTCACTCACACACTCACTTACACACGCACGTATTCACTCACACTCACTCGCATACGCACGCATTCACTAACGCATTCACTCACGCACTCACACACGCACTCACTCACACACGCACTCACTTACACACGCACTCGCGCACGCACTCACACACGCACTCACTCACACACGCACTCACTTACACACGCACTCGCGCACGCACTCACACACGCACTCACTCACACATGCATGCACTCACGCATGCCGGTGGCTGGGCACACAGCTGCAGCAGCAGATCTGGCAGCCACAGGAGCACCACTTTAACCGTGCCTCCTCCTTCAAAACACACCAAGCTAGGGAAATTCGCAATAGATTTTTGGGTCGGGCCGCATAATGATCGGGTCCATGTTTGTGCTATGAAGAAGGGCCGTTACCCAAAACGTCAACGATTTTATATTTCTCTCTTTAAGGCCACAGCGTTATTGACGAACGTTGCGGATATTTTTTTGTTTGTTATTTGTGCCTTGTGCACCACTGGCGAGGCAGCGTCAACAATTAATGTGACCGGAATTGGTGCCGTCAATCCACTATTTTTCCCTCTGTGCGGCCGATGTTGCTGAAGAGCAACGGGGCTCCAATTTTCCATAATAGAGGTTATTTTTTTTTTGGGGGGGGGGGGGGTTAAATCGCGTAAATATAAATGAACCCCGCCACCATCCGACACGGCCAATTAGTGAGGTTTGTCACGTGAAGAGAACGTGCCAATTGATTACTAGTACAGCACACCGGTGTGTTGGAGGGCAAATCCACAACATGTACAATCTGAGTACGACGTTTCGAAAGTAATTACAACTGTCATCATCAGGTGGACAGTCAGATTTGTGTATAAATCCTCCTGTTTCGTTCCTTAAATAGAAGGATAGATGTCCCTATCTAATTTGCTGTGTCGGGTGTTGGCGGGTTTAGTGACACATTTATATTTACACGATCTAAGCCCAAAAAAACCCTTTAATATGGATGATATTGGTTGCAAAAACCTACGTGTTAAACAGGCTCCGATTTGACAACGGGGCAGTTGAAGAGCCGGATGATTGTGTCCCTTGTAGCGGATTTTGCGTATCATCGCGTGCTGACGATGCCCCCTTAGCTTTCGTGAGATGTTCCACGGTTAGGTTCTGGGTGGACCGCAGCTGCAAACCGCACACAGATGTGAATCCTCTATTTGTGCATAAAGTGCCAGCATCTGCTGCTGCTGCCGTGGTTTTTGTCTGCAAACTCCGACACAGCTAAACAACTTCGGTTTGTCACGTGTGCAGTAAAGCCAACTGTAAAATAATCAATTATGTAAATTAACATTGGCTGCCAACAACAAACGTGTAAAGTTAGAAAAGAAGCAAGCCTGTTTCCCGTGGCTCGTGTATCGCTTCACACCACCACACGCTTTGTTCTGGGAAGTATTTAATCGCACGATGGAAGCCGTCGAGGGGGGAAAAAAACACACGTCCGAAAGTTTCCGAAAAGTCCTTCCCGCTCTGGTTTGCGTCTCCCAGGTCTCGTTGGCGACACCTTGATCAAGTTGCAATGCAACGCTACACGGTTCAAGTTTTGTTCACGTGGGACCATCTCTACGACACTTAAGAATGCTCCATCGACCACCATCGCCCCCCCCCCCTCCGCCTGCCCCCCTTCCCGTTATGGACCGACAAAGATGAGGCATAAGCACTTTTGGCAGCGTTAAAACCTCTTATCAAACGGTTCAGCTGAGTCAGGATTGTATCGCGCGGGAACGATATCGCGGACCGAACGAGCTACGCAACGCACTGCAAAGGGCTCGCCTTTGGTTCAATAATTTTAAAAAAACAACAACAGTGGCTGGGGATGGCTAAGGGTGTCGGGGAAACGCTGACCGAATTATTTATTCCTCTGTCGCCATCCCTTGCGGTTCTGCGATGCCACAAAATAATCCTGCTCCTGGCACACACGCGCAAATCGATGCCGTCGCCCCGTCTCCGGAGCGGTCGTTGCGTGTCAGATGCGCACCGTTGCAAGTCTCGTCCATTTGCCCGCGATCCCATTTATCCCCGCGAGCCAAGTGTCCTCCTGGTGGCCAAGCCCACGTGATGCCTCCAATTGGCACGACGCAGACCTATCGTGTTCCTCTCCGTGTCTCTTGGTGCAACTGCAGGCAGCGCACACCTTTCCCGTGCGTCTTTGCGCACGTTTTTGTGCCATTTTTCTCCCTTTGCAAATGTCCGCGCTTCTGATCGGCACACCACACGCAACGGTTGAAAACTTTTCTCCCCAGTCGTAACGGCGGTACGATGCCCTTCATCGTCAAGTTTGTGTTTTCCAAAAAAGAAACGGTAAAAAAATACACATCAAAGCCAAACTACACTAACTGCGTCTCGAAAAATCATCACAGTAGTTGGAATCAACAGGAAATAATTTTAAACCTCTGCCTCTTGTGAGGAATTGTATTTTACGATGACGACTGAGGGCCTATAAAGG